TGGGAATCTCAATGGATAACTGGTTGGTGGTATACCTACCCCTCTGAAAAATCTGAGTTCGTCAGTTGGGATTATTCCCAATATATGAAAACTTAAAATTCATGTTCCAAACCACCAACCAGATCAGCGACTTCTGCTTTCCTAAGAGGAAAATAAGTCAACAACGTTTCCAAAAACGCGAAGACACCCCAAGACTCCCAACACAAAAGAACCATCTCAGCCATCTCTAATGGGGTTTAGGGCTAAAATTTTGGCATCGCCAAAACGGGTGGATTTTTGAGCCTAAACATGTAGCAGCTATGTAGTTTTCAGGCTCTTGGATTTTTGGGTCTGAAAAATTGTATCAATTTAACAGCATTGGTCAAATATGGAAGGTTAAATCATTAACTAGACGGTTGATTCCTGCTAAATCACTGTTTCCACTAAAGTAAGAAAAACATCACCGTGATCGCAAAATACCAATGGGATCATCATAAGAACACAAAAAAAAACTTTCTGAAGTAAACTTCAGTCCACCCTCCATGCACCAAAGCGTGCGTGAAACCCGACGCTGGCGCCAGTCCTATGATATTGGGCACCAGTCGCAGACAGAGTCCCAAGGCCGTCAGAGCGGCACCGGAAAGGATCACGCCCCAAAGGTTTCCTGGATTTCTTGCAAAATATCGCGATGGTATGAGGTGGACTAGGATTTATTCTAGAGTTATTATATACATAATTAATGGGGGTTAGAAATCAACAAACCTAACTGGGGGGCACCATCTTGTATGGTCTGGTCATGAAACGCAAGCAGAATTGGATGATCAACAAACATGTGCCCAGGCAAGGCCTATATTTCCGAATATTTCCTGGGCAAAGATCATGAAGATCATGATTTTTTGCGTCTTCAAATATCGTCAAATATATTCCCAATTCCTTTCTGAACCAATCCTAGCTACACATCTCGAAAACTGACCTTAGAGTGGTTGATCTGGGGTGGTACAGCTCCCAGAAATGTTTGCGTCACGTCAGCTTGAATACTGCAAGAAACAGCACCACTGCTTGTCGAAGATTGTAGATGGATAATATCAGAATAAACAAACAATAAACAATTATGGATTCTGGATGTGAGATTAGTGATGGATGTTAGTTTACATATTAGATGAATGATGGACGTTAGTAACAAGCCATGTTTCTTTAAAACAAAATGACACGAAAACACACCGAGTCTCCAGCTTGTTTGGCCACCAGGTAGCCAACCACTGGTGCCACAGGCAAGTACCTTGCACACCAACGAGAATCGCAGCGCTAGGGCATTGACCATGACATATGATGTCTAAAAAGACTCTTTTTATGACCTAGACCCTCAGTATCCCTCAGTGTATATCAATAAATAGTTTACCGTAAACATAGGAAAATATGGTCAATCGAGTGTCTTGGTACTATTCTGGCCATACCAGTATGTTTGGCAAGCAATCGATATATATATATATATATACATACACGTATATAATCATATAGATTATCTATAAAATGATTCTTTTAGTAAACGTGTAGATGCTGTAGAGAAACAGCAGCAAAAACGCATGGACATATGTGTTGACGTTCGTTGGCAACTGATTCCTGCTGAGGCTGAGGAAGTATCAGTCGTTAACATCTCAACCGAGAGGCATGATGGGACCCCAATTCAGCAGCAGATCGATGGATGCCTTTGGGTTCTCAAAGCCATAATACTCTGCCGCGATCCGCGGGGAAGCGCTGTAGGTGACCCAGCCCACGCATTGCATCAGACCCAACCAGAACATGCACAAAAGCCTCACCAGGTATCCAAAGGTCGTGAGGGTAGCATGACTTGGTTGGCACGGACAATCTTCGATACCCTGCCATTGGCAGGGTGTTTTAGCTGCGTAGTAGATTCAGGAAAAAACATTCATACATATTCCTATTTATGGCCGCACGAATTATGGTCTTGTAACTGCTCGGCTTTCGGCTTTCCTCACTTTCACTGACCTACTTCTATATGTGCACTCCACTCGCTGATGCTGCAAAAACGTACAGGAACTTGTGCAGCACAGTTCAATATCGTGTAACATCTTGATACATTAAATGTACCCTCTGGTAAACTAACATAGCCCTGGACAATCACCATTTTTAATGGGAAAACTCACAATAAATGGCCATTTTCAATAGCTATTTTGACATAACCAGAGGGTAACATCTTGATACATTAAATGTAACCCAGGAATCGCTGTGCATAGTTTGGGGACTTGCCAGGCTACCAGTCACTGGATGTCACCGGCAGAGCAGGCCACGTCCACGTACCAGCCATCTCTGTAACATCGCGCAGGCGGTTTGCTGGGTAATTTAGTAACAACTCTATACCCAGTTAGATCAATGGATATACCCAGCTATATCTGGTTGGTGGTATATATCTACCCCTCGGAAAAATCTGACTTCGTCAGTTGGGATGATGACATTCCCAATATATGGAAAGTCAGAATCCGTTCTTGTTCCAAACCACCAATCAGATATATGACTACAATTCCAATGATGAATTGGGTATGACATACCCCACTTAGATTCATGGAAAGGCCAGTGGAGGATCTTCATGGAATCTGCAGAACCCCAAAGGCCAATAAAGGCCAGTGGCCGCTGGTGAAAATAACATGACCGGAATGCTTCCACGCTTGAAATTTACCCTCTGGTAAACAAACATAGCTATTGAAAATGGCAATTTATAGTGGATTTACCCATTAACAATGGTGATTTTCCATAGTTATGTTAGTTTACCAGAGGGTAACATGTCTGAAAAAGGTGTTTGCTTTTTTTTCGTGCAAGAGTGGCTTTGTCTGAACACTTACCGGAAAAAAAACACCAAATTCGGTGGCTTATCATCAAGTTTCCTATGAAATCTATGAACACGTGAATGATTTGGGGGTGCAAACCCAGGTGGAAACAAACGCAGGTTGGTGGCACAAGTTTTCGCTCCAAGTAGCACCAACCATCGCCTCCCTTCCACTCCATCGGTGCTCATGGCAACGGGATGAGGTCTCGAGGAAAGGGAAGCAACCAGACCAGCTTCCAAGTTCACATGTTCCTGTGTTGTTGTTGTTGTTGTTGTCGTTGTCGTTTTAATATTTGGAGGTTTCCAAAAATGAGGTCCCCCTAAATCATCCATTGATGGATATTCCATTATAAATAAATATAAACCATCCATTTATGGTTATCTTCATTTATGGTTATCTTCATTTATGGAAAACCCCCATTTTGACAATGACCATGAAGCTCACTTTGCCTGTGCAAAGATGATCGCTGCCTGGCCAGCCGGGGCAAGTCGTGAAAGCCGTTGCTGCTGATACATGTGCTGCGAGCTCCCCTGGTTGAGTAATTCAAACTGCATCAACCTTGGAACAAAGGCGGTACTGCCGGGTGCGCTTGGGGCTACGGATGTATAGCCAAAGTTATTAGAGCTAGATCCCAAGTTGTCCATTTAGAAGCTCAACAAGCCCAAGTATGAACCAACCAACCCCAAAAAACATCAATGAGAACACCTTCGACCGTTAAAAGCAACGACACCGATGACGCCCAAAAGCGGTAGTCAAGATCTACCAAGATCTACGGGGAATCCCTGCATTTCTTGATATCGTTGCTATTCTTCATAATCTCTCTCTCTCTCTCTGTGTATATATACATATATATGCATATATATATATATATGCTACCTATGAACTGGAAACAGGGGCACTTAGCAGACTTAGCACATCACTACAACATGGGTAGCACAAGTTGGTTCAGTAGCACTCCTTAAAATGGAAGTTTCAATTTGCAAAACAGAAATCAACACGAACAACCTCCAAGATCTTACATGATCTTACCATGTCCTAACGTCGAAGAACGGTATGATCACATCCCTGTCCCAACAGGAACGCTTTTCTGGTTGGTGGTTTTAATTTAACCATCTTGAAAAATATGAGTTCGTCATAGTTCGTCAATGGGAAGGATTATCCATGCTTCTCCCAATTTATCCCATATATAATGGAACATACAATTCATGTTTGAAACCACCAACCTTTCGCAACCAATTTTTCGCTCTGTTTCCAGAGTGTCTGGTGTTCCTCCCGAAAGGTCCCGGTGGTGTTCACCGGGAAACGCGGTAAGGTGAGATCTCAAGACTTGCCGCAACCTGCGCAACGTGGAGCCCCACGGGACGCCATAAAGGACGCCCTGGGACGCCTCTCAACAAAATGATATATAAACTGTATACGTTTTACCTGTATATTATAAATATATAAATATAAATATATATATATATATATGTGCATATTATATATCTCACATTATCTCATATGATCAGATACTATATCAATCTCGATCAGATATTATCTAATGTCGAATTGCCTATATTTGAAGCCAGTAACCAGGACCTGCATTTGAAGCCATTAACCAGGTCTAGCCCCTATGAGAATCCTAGGATTCCAAACCAGCCTGAACAAATGATCATTGGTAACATGGGCATCACAATAAGGAACCCAACCATTGACTGGTTGGTGGTTTCAACCCCTTTGAAACATATTAGTCAGTTGGGATGATGACATTCCCAATATATGGAAAGTCATTAAACTCATGTTCCAAACCACCAACCAGATTGATGTCTATGGAGGTCGAATTGCCAACACTACACGGAGAAAGGTGCCTATCGACGCCGACACCTGTGTAAAGGTAGTCTTAATCCTGCCCCGTCCTGCCTACACCACCTACACAATTAGGCAAGACATCTGGCACAAAATGCCTGGCCTACGCCGTGTCTTAATGAGTTCCTGTTTTGTAATAATCCTATACTACTCAAAGATCTCTGCTGAATTGGTCGCTTAATAACTGCATCACTGGTCCCTGAACCTTGAACGACGCAAATTGTTGTTTTTGGATACACACTTTGTTGGTGCATCAAACATCATTCAAATCCTCCAGTTTCTGTTTGTCAAAGCAGCGAAGCGGATGCAGCACAAGCGCTGGCCTCTTGTTCTTTAACCACGTCGGATAATGTTCTGCGTGTGCGTGGTGTACCTGAACAGGGAATCGCCCGGCAGAGCGGTGTCGGCGTGGGGTCAGGGACTACCCTCTCTGGTCATCAAACATACCAACACACCTGAGAATGGGGTTGATAATTGGCTAAATAAGGAGGTAACATCATGAATGTTCCACCCCGTGTGGCAATCATTTACCTACAGTACAATAGCTTAGAGCAACCCTAATAATTGCATATAATTGCCATGTTTGACGATTTGATGACTGCAAAATCAATGAAGGTCTAGAAGCTAGCAACTCTTATAGCCATGCAATATGCCATATGGTCACTAGATGTCACTAGATCTCAGCCAGGCTGCGCCAAAGCACTCATCCATAGATGTCAGGTGCCGGATAGAAAAAACTGTTTTACAAGGACACAATTCGGTCACAAAAGAGCGACCGCAACCCTTGGATCATGTCCTGCATAGACTAAGATCTACTGTTCCAAGGTCCTGTTTCAGTTTCTCCTCTCATCACCCCAGGGCCACATGTTGTCTTGATGCTTCGTCATGGCACACGTCCTCAAGCGAGGATGAGGATGAAATGAAGTCGAGGTGAATCATTCTATGGTTATACATTTCGAATAAATAACTCTATTTCAATGATATCAAATTGATACTTCTTCCATGTCCATTTTGAACGTTTTTGAACTCTGGATCCTATGGTTTCGAAGAAATGTAGGCCAGAAAATGAGCAACATGGTGTTTGTCCTGGAGTTTCTCCGGCTACCCATGGGTGAATAAAGACTAAAACAACGGCAAAGGCAGCCTCTGTTCACTTGACCAACGATGGACTTATTTGTGCTATTTCCTTATTTTGGTTGGTCAACGAATCCATTCACCACCCACAAAACAATAGATTGGGTAGAACGATACCCAAACAGTCACAAAAATTGGCAAAGGAGTTTTATCCTTGAGTCATAATATACATAATATATATATATATATGTATATGTATATATATATATATTATGTATATATATATATATATAAATATGTTGATATTAATTATATTACATACATACAGACACAATGTATACGTATACACTTAAACATCTACTCCGACCACCATCAACCACTGGTGGCTTCAACCCTCCAAGTAGGAAACCACCCACCAGATTTAACCAAATGATCATGTGCTACATCCCACTATATATATATATATATTCCCATTCTATCTCAAATTTAGATGTTTGGTAAAATCCCCTATGAAGTCCCCATTTTATATCTCAATGGATTGTTTTTTTGTGGCCATCTCTTTAGCGGTTTTTCCGATGGTTTTTTTACCATGGAAATATGGATAAATCCCCAGGAAATATCGAAATTCATGGTAAATTTAAGAATATGTCTAAGGATTTCATAGGGATTTAACCATCTAAAGAAACAAAAAACTAGATTTCTATAAATTTATGGTAAATTCACCAGATGGTTTAAGTGATACCCCCTCTGATAAACGTTTACATAACTATGGAAAATCACCATTTTGTAGCTGGGAAAATCCACTATTTCTATGGCCATGGCTTCAATAGCTTTGTGTATGTTTACCAGAGGGTATGTTTCCGGCAAACTTCCCCCAGCAACCACACCCACGGTTTATCTCAGCGCCACAATTTGGGCCCCAGAACGATTTGGGATAGGAGACGCGAGTGGCGCCAGTGGCCAGGCGGGGTAGGACACCGTCATCACCTGCCATGTGACTTGGTACCCGGGTACCCCATGGTACCCCCGTAGATTATCCATTTGTTCGATGTTTTTTATGTTGTTTTCCATGAACTGAACTTCCAAAGAACTTCCAAAGAACTTCTAAAGAACCATCCAAAAATTTTGAGGTATCTGATGAATTTGATGGACACCCATATGTATATACTCTCTTTTTTAAACATTTGCGTTTAACTATGGATAGATCCACCATTTTGTAGATGGGAACATCCACTATTTCGATGGGCCATACAACCCTTGGAACATCTTGGAACTGCCATGGCCATGAGGAAACACCAAAAAGACTCGAAAGGGACGGCAAATGTGAATGTTGATGTTTTAGTATTAACCATGAAATTCACCATCTTATTTATTAATCACTATAATAAGAACCATCTTATTTTAAGACATTCAACATATTAACATGGTGTTGTACCCATGAGAAAAAACCATGCGGCGCTGGGGAACCCAGACTTAGGTGCCATCCAATCTCCATGTTGATGTTTGGTGGGTCAGAGTACAGCTCCCGCGGCGAATGAATGGACCTGCCAGACGCGGAAAAGCTGCGTTCGGTTTGAGTGTTGAGTGCAAATGGGGTTTCACTCCATGCGTTGAATCAGGTGATTGCACCTTCATTTGAATGCATCATCTATGTATACATATATAACACACACACGTATATATATATATATACACATCCATTCTGTGGTCTGCCTGTGGTCGGTGAGTACCGTATCTGTTGGCCCATGATACTTCACAATCTTCACACGCTCGAGTTGCGATGGCTTCTCGCGTGCCCCGCTGCGTTCCCCGCGGGCTGGTTTTTCAGCAAGGCTTGATGCTGTCTGTCTGTGGGTAACACAAACACACGTTACCGTTACAGTACTTAGGTACCATCTGGTTATGACTCACATAGCCATGGAAAATCATTATTTTTAATGGGAAAACTCACTATTTCTAGTGGTTGATTACCATCTGGTTATGACTCACGGTTTGCCATGGAAAAAATCCACCATTTTTAAGTCCGGTAAACCATCTAATTATTTCGATTAGGGCCATCTATGCCATGGCTATGTAACAAATAACCAGAGGGTACGTTATCCATCTTTATCCAAAATTAAACATGAGAAACATCCGGATCAACCACAAGAACAATGCCACCATTGTTCATGGACTCTCTGGTAAATTTTCACATAGCATAACACAGCTATGGACATTTGCCAATTGTTGCTGTTTTCCTGTAAGAAATGGTGATGTTACATAGCTATGTTCAAGAACATCACAGCATTGCAACAATGCATCTCGCATCTGATTTGACGTCTGTGAAGCTTCAGTGATACGATTTCTGCAACATTCTGCAACCGATTATATAAAACATGTTTAAACACCAGTCAAACTTGGACAATTATCCTTCTCTTCACAGCAAAATAGCTGGCGAAAGTCACCTTCCTCCCAGAGCCCATGGTGCCTGATGTGCTTCAGCTTGTGCGTCGCCAGAATTTTGAAGCTGGTCTTCTGTTGGGCCTGAGGGCAGATCCGCTATACGCTCGCTTCAGGGCGGTGCCCCAGTTCCTTAGCTCAGGTGGTTTATATGAGCTCCATTAAGTCATTCAGTCCACCTATCTCATATATCTACCATAAATCATATAGTCAACCTATGTCAACCTACTGAAGATTGATGATCGCTGCATCCTCGATATAATCCACTGTACATAAACTACATCAACTTATACTGCGGAGATCGCCCAACATCGTTGGTTGAAACGACAACAGAGATTGGTAATTGTGTTGTCCTAAGGATATTTTCATTTAAGCCTCCATTACCATTGGTTACACCTTATATTTTGGCTGGTGAGCGACGCTGTGGTCGCCTCCATTTTGAGGGTCACTATGATGTACAGTACCATGGACCAGAGTTCTATCCCATCAAAACTCATAAACATACGACCATTCCCTAGTTACATGATGTTACTGATGTTTTTTTGTCAAAAGTCATTCCCTAGTTAAGATGTTACTTAAGATGATACAACTAACTACTACTAACTACTACTAACTACTACTAAGTATACTACTAACTACTACTAACTACTACTAACAACTACTAACTACTACTAACTACTACTAACTACTACTAAGTATACTACTAACTACTACTAACTACTACTAAGTATACTACTAACTACTACTAAGTATACTACTAACATCTACTAACTACTACTAAGTATACTACTAACTACTACTAAGTATACTACTAAGTATACTACTAAGTATACTACTAAGTATACTACTAAGTATACTACTAAGTATACTACTAACTACTACTAACTACTACTAACTACTACTAACTACTACTAACTACTAAGTGATTTTGGAGCTCCCCGTGGAGTGATGGGAAAATTGCATCACCTTCCAGTGAACCGACCATCTCGGTGCCGCACCTGTGCTTTGGTCAAGTTCTCCGCCGTCCAGGACTCACGCCCCGGAAACCACTGAACGCAGCGGGCGGTGAGGCCACCGTTGAGTAAGTGGGAATCTCTATGATGGAAACTTGTTGGATCCATGGACATATATATGTATTATATATATACAACCATATGTATATGTATAATGCAATGTAATATAATATAATATAATATGATATGATATTATATTATATTAATATTATATTATGTTATATATATATTAATTATATCTACATTAGAAATAGGGGAGCACAATGGGATGTAATGGGATACCAGGGAATATCACTATATTGCTATAGGGGGTTGTTCTAAATTATTTTCCCGAAAGTGGCTCTTGGGCCGGCCTTGGGCGAACCTTGCGCATACCTTGCGCGACCACAGTGCCGTGTGAGTTTTTTGGTTGCGCGTGTTTTCGTGCGCCGTTTTTGTGTAGTTTCCTAGCGTGTATAGATTTCCACCTACTTTCAATTGATTTTCCTTTTGAACCCAAAAAGAAAATCTGAGGATAAGTAAACTGTTCAATTCATGTGCGTGTCCGTGTATCTTCTTATCAGAAAATATATCTTCGTGTGTTTGCCTACTGTATATCCATTTGCATGTTTGTGTTTTTGACAGGATGGCATGGACTACCCGTCAACTTTGGACCTGAAGCTTGCACGTTTCTTGGGCGAAGCTTGCGCAGATTTGGGCTGAAAAACTCTCTTTGGCAGGGTTGTTACTCATTGTCAATTTATATACATTCTTGTTTACCTGCAGGGGGGCTTGAGCACAGGACCTGCATGAGACTGCCAGTGCAATAAACAAGAATCAGATGCAGAATTGCCACGCAAGTTTACAAAAGCATATTGAAGAAGCAACATGACATACCACTATACAAATTCCCTTGCGCAAAACCTTGGCCCGGCCCTGCGCGAAACTTGCGCGATGCAGGTTTTACACTACCCAGAAGCTCTCAACAAACCTGCGCAAAACCTAAGTTTTAAGAGGATGGTTTTAGAACGACCCCCCCTTTTTTTTGCATCTGGATAATTACTCTCTGGTAATTTGCTACATAGCTATTGAACATGGTCATAGAAATAGTTGATTTACCCAGCTACAAAATGGTGGATCTGTCCATAGTTATGTAAACGTTTACCAGAGGGTATGAAGGGATTCTGCCATAGAAATAGTTGATTTTCCCATTAAAAATTGCCATGTTCAAGTAGAACATCACCAGTTTTAAGGGGAACATCCACTATTTCGACTGGGCCATGTTCAATAGCTATGTAACAAATCACCAGAGATCACCAGAGGCTATCGTTCACCAACTCTTAGAATCATCCCTTGGCGCCTCCTTGGGCTGTTCCTTTCGCATCTTCCACAGATCCTTCAGTGGAGTTGCAGGTATACTCTACCAATGAACATGAAATAACATTCAATGGATTGGTTTTCACGGGAACATTTATAGGAAAACCCCATATTTACTGGGAAAATCTATGGTTTCTTGTATATTTTCCCTAAAACAAATCCATTGAAACATGCCATCTGGTTATTTAACAATTCCTGAGCATCATCCATGACCAGAAACTGTAGAATTGGGTAAGGCCCAAGATGTGTTTTTTTTTTTAAAAAATCTCTATATATATATATACTGGTTGGTGGTTTTAACCATCTTAAAATGTGAAAATCAATGGGAAGGATTATCCCATATATGAAATGGAAAATAAAAAATGTTCCAAACCACCAACCAGAGAAATATATTGTGCCAAAAATCATGATAGGATGTTGACTATCACAACTATATTAGCTTGATACCCAGATGTTCACATGGTGCCTCAAATTGTGCTTTCAACGCTGAGGGAGTAGTCAAGTGAACCCGCTGAGATTGTCATTTGCAGCAGTGTCGCGGGATATAAAAAACCTTGACTGAAACTGACGAGCCTTGTCTAAGTATCCAGAAGTGGGTGTTCTATGGTGTTCTCAGAGTTAGCAACATGAATTGAAATTGGAGCCCCTGGCTGACCAAGAATATTCCTGTATATGTTTGAAATTATTGGTATATGCCTGTAGCATTCAAATTCTAGTGGGCCTATACCATCTGGTTATTTAACAGTTCACCATGGAAAGATCCACAATTTTTAAGAACGGTAAACCATCTATTTCTATGGGCCATCTATACCATGGCTATGTAACAAATAACCAGGGCCTATACACTTGCTCACCAAGTGAGGCTTTGGGCCTTCGTCAGAACTGAACCCACGAAAACATGGATCCAAAATTCCTTCGCATCATCCGTGACCAGAAAATGTAGAGTTGATGAATTGGGTGAGGCCCAAGATTGAAAAATAACCAGATCATACCTATTTATACCTATTTGTTTAGCTAATATATATATATACATATAATCATATAATCATATATAATCCATATCAATCCATATCATATCACTTCTAATTCAAGATCCATTTGCTGGTGAACTGTTCGTCCCATCCACTGCAAAACATCCTCTCCGTCCTCTCCCTTCAGTAAACCAAGAGAGTTTGCTGTCGAAAATTACCCATTTAGCTGGAAGATATAACCGATTATCTTTTTGAATAGCTATCTTAGTTTACCACAGGGAAACTCATCAATCTATGCTTTCCACATGTTTTCCACTGGTTGGTGGTTGACCTACCCCTCTGAAAAATATGAAAGTCAATGGGAAGGATTATCCCATATATGAAATGGAAAATAAATTACTTTACTTCGTGTGATCCCCACCATGACATTTATACATTTTCTTACTGGCAAATCTTCTGGCATTCTATCTGACATATCTTCTGACATTCTATTTGGCATTCTATCTGGCATATCTTCTGCATTGAATTCTGGCAATCTTCTGGCATTCTATCTGCAAATCTTCTGCCTTCTATCTGGCATATCTCTGGGCACCTATCGGAACATTCTTCTGGCATTCTATCTGTCATATCTCGTGGCATATATTCGACATCATATCTTCTCTTCTGGCTCATTCTAATCTGACTATCTTCTGCATATATTCTGACATAAATCTTCTGGCAATCGTTCTGACATATCTTCTGGCATATCTTCTGACTATCTATCTGGCATATCTTCTGGCTGGCATAATTCTTCATATCTGGGCATTCTATCTGGCATTCTTCTTGGCATTCTATCTGGCATATCTTCTGGCATATCTTCTGATTCTATTCTTTCTGGCACATTCTTCTCATACATTTTCTTCTTCTGCACATTCTTTGTCCCATATCTTCCTACATGAGGTCCGGCAGGGAACCCTTGGCGTGGATACTCGCGGTTGAGGTCCGGCAGGGAACACTGGGCGTGGATGGTCGTGGTTGAGGTCCGGCAGGGAACACTGGGCGAGGATGGTCGTGGTTGAGGTCCGGCAGGGAACATTGGGCGTGGTTGGTCGTCGTGGTTGAGGTCCGGCAGGGAACACTGGGCGTGGATGGTCGTGGTTGAGGTCCGGCAGAGAACACTGTGGATCGCGGGTCGCAGTTGAGCAAGGACGACGAGGACGACGAGGACGACGAGGACGACGAGGAGGACGAGGAGGAGGAGGAGAGGAGGACGAGGCAGGAGGAGGCGGAGGAGGAGGAGGAGAAGGAGGAGAAGGAGGAGGAGGAGAAGGAGGAGGAGGCAACTGACATAAAATCTAACAACCCTCACCTGGCAGGTGGGGAAAAAAAGTTTGAAACCTCTGAAACCACCAACCAGTCCATGTATTTTCATAAGTTTCTGGTTGGTGGTTTTAACCATCTTGAAAATATGAAACCATCTATATTAGTCAGTTGGGATGATTATTCCGAATATATGGAAAAATAAAAAATGTTCCAAACCACCAACCAGGGATTATTAACCATTATTAACCATCATCAACCACCATTAACCCATCTTTTCCATCTTTTCCCACGTCCTTTTGCCCCCCAAAATCCCAAAAAGCGCCCGCCTTCAGCGTGGATTCGGCCTCGGCCACCGCGGGCACCGGCAGCGGCCTGGGCGGCCGCTCCACCACCGCGGTGCGCGGCGAACGCAGCTCCGCCTTGCGCAGAAGGCCCGTGGCGTCCCTGGCGCAACGTCGTGTGGATGGAGTGGTGGGGATGGAGATTTTATCTCAGATTTTATCTCAGATATCATGGGAGTTTTACCCTCTGGTAGATTAACATAGACCCTGGCAGATAGGGGTTGGAAGACTAGTTTCCATGAAAAATTGGTGATTTTCAGGGTCAACAAGTTTATTTACCAGATATGTTTTTATATCATGACATTTTTTCGGAGGTTTCCAAAAATGGGGAGTCCTAAATCGATGAATCATCGTTTTCCACGAGAAATCCTTTCATGGAGAGGTTTTCTGCATCACGTGAATCACGTGGTGGTTAAATCCTGGGAGAGTTTGGGACTATGGAGCCACATTGAGGGCGATGTTTTTGACGACCATGAAATCAGTCAAGACTTGATGGTCCACCATACTGAGCAAATAAATAAATGGACTAGCTGCATTTAGAAATAGACTAACCCTACTTGCCCCACTTATAAACAGGTCTATAACTGTTGATGAAGTGAGCAGTGTTCAAAACTCTCCAGCGTCCTTTTATACGAGTTGGTTCAGAAGGGATTTCATGGATTGGAATAATCATCAATATACTGGATGGTATAGCCCAAGCAAAGCATCAATCAATCATCATTTATCAATTATTGCCAATTATATTCAATTATATCAATTACATATATATATATATATATTATATATTATATATATATCCATATGTTCATGGTTAGACCCCCATCAAAATCCAGTTACCCTCTGGTAATTTAACATAGCTACAGTATTGAAAATTGCAATTTATAGTTGTTGATTTATGAATTCAAAATGGTGATTTCCACAGTTATGGTAGTTTACCAGAGGGTATAACTCAAGTCGTCACTTTAAGACAAGCTAGCTAGGATTTATCATGATTTTGCATGGTCAAATTCCCAAGTGTATCATCAGTCAACCAGGAACCATCATCTATCAATGATTTCCACTTATATCATCATATTGTCAGTTATAAAATCCAGTTATAAATTCCCATATTTCATTCATCAATAAACCATCGTTCATCAGTTCTATCCGAATTAAATGAATGTAAAATCATTTTAAATCTCTCACAACTCGTTATGAATCATCAATCAACGATTATCCAGATTATCCATGACAAAAATTACTTTACTTCGTGTGATCCCCACCATGACATTTATACATTTTGTTACTGGCAAATCTTCTGGCATTCTATCTGACATATTTTCTGGCATTCGATCTGGCATTCTATCTGGCATATCTTCTGGCATTCTACCTGGCATATCTTCTGGCAGATGTTCTGGCATATCTTCTGGCAGATGTTCTGGCATATCTTCTGGCAGATGTTCTGGCATATCTTCTGGCATATCTTCTGGCATATGTTCTGGCATATCTTTTGGCATTCCATCTGGCATTCTATCTGGCATATCTTCTGGCACTCTATGTGGCATATCTTTTGGCGTGGATACTCGCGGTTGAGGTCCGGCAGGGAACACTGGGCGTGGATGGTCGTGGTTGAGGTCCGGCAGGGAACACTGGGCGGGGATACCCGCGGTTGAGGTCCGGCAGGGAACACTGGCGGTGATGGTCGTGGTTGAGGTCCGGCAGGGAACACTGGGCGTGGATGGTCGTGGTTGAGGTCCGGCAGGGAGCACTGGGCGTGGGTGGTCGTGGTTGAGGTCCGGCAGAGAACACTGTGGATCGCGGGTCGCAGTTGAGCAAGGACGACGAGGACGACGAGGACGACAAGGACGACAAGGATGACAAGGAGGACGAGGAGGAGGAGGACGAGGCAGGAGGAGGCGGAGGAGGAGGAGGAGGAGCAGGAGGAGGAGGAGGAGCAGGAGGAGGCAACTGACATAAAATCTAACAACCCTCACCTGGCAGGTGGGGAAAAAGAAAACCATGATATCCTATCAAGAGCCATCATTCTGGGTAAATTGTAATATTTCACTATCACTAACCTGAATACTTCGGCCATAAAGGATGCATTGCATTCCCTAAAATAAACCATGATTCCAGGCTTTGGGAGATCAGGCTTCGGTATGTTTTTTTTTTTTTTAGAGTTTTTTTAAAAAAACATTTTCTGGTTGGTGGTTGACCTACCCCTCTGAAAAATGATGGAGTTATATAGTTCGGATTCTTCTTCCCAACTGAAAGTCATAATCCACATGTTCCAGTCACCACCAACCAGTATATATATATATATATATATCTGTAATTAATATGTTATAATCCCATCATATAACCATCATATAACCACTATTATTGGTATTATAACCACTATTATTATGATATTGGTATTCTAACCACTATTATCATGATGGTTAAAACCACCAAGCAGATTTTGGTTGGTGAAATCATGGTGAAATCCCATTTCGATCATCCGTTTGGGAGCACCTGGGAGTCATGCGGCTCGTGGTGGCATCCGCCATAGGCCGCCTATCCAAAAGAAACCCCCGGAGGGATGTGAAACGTGGAAGAATTAAAGAAGACACCATGAAAGATGTGGATTCTGGCTGAAACATTGTGAAAAAAATGTTGATTTAACTTGATTTAACAATGATAAATAAGGATTTAACATGATTTAACCACTGGAAAATGATGATCATTGATATTTGATGATATGTGGATGTGTGGGAAAATTGGGGATTGAGAAGATATACGGCCAATTTATGGCACATTTAAGGGGAACAGTCACGATGAACCAATGATGGTCAGGTTTCATGGAAATAATAGTGGCTTGTGGACATCCCAGCATCAGGGTACATAAAACCACATCAATAGAGGTATGAACATACGCCAATATGGATAATCCAACTTTTGATCATGGTACATATGAAATGATACAGATTTGAGATGCTTAGTCAGCCTAGTCAATGCTTGGACGATGACCCCACTTAGAAACTTCTTAGCCCCTCGATTCGTGGCGTTCGCTAAGCCAGCTAAGCCAGCTCAGCGATATGGCAGAAGAAAAAACTGAGGAGACTGATGAATACTGGTTGGTGGTATACCTACCCCTCTGAAAAATATGACTTCGTCAGTTGGGATGATTATTCCCAATATATGGAACCATAAAAAATGTTCCAAACCACCAACCAGAATACAATAACCTGGCCTCAATCCACAGGGATGAATAAGTAACATCAGCCAAGCCAGCCAAGCTGGCTACAAGCTGGCTACAATCTGACTGGCTACTGATTCACCCACCTGAGAACATTCAGAATAGCTGTGCTTCAAGGCCAGGGGGATCACCAAAAAACATCATCCAGAATAGATGATTGTTTTGTCCTGGTCCGGGCTATCATCCAATCTGCTTCACAGCTGGACCATATTCAATCCACCTGATCACAAACCTGTGGCTATCTCAGTTTTGCAGTCTTAAAAAACCTGTACAAAAGAATAGAGTTGCTTAAAAAAGGCTTACCATACCAATCTTAGAGTTCTTAGTGCTTATCTTGGAGTTTTTTTGGAGGCTTACCACACCAATCTGTAACATCAACCAAGATTTAGCATCACCTCCACACAGAAAATTGTCGCTGCGACACATGACGGACTAGCTGCGACACAATCGGAGCCTTGCCACAGTCTGAGTCTCGTATGTCTACATGGAGGAAGTGGCCTCTAGTGCTCTGAGCTTATGTATATATATATATATACTCTATATATATATATATTATAGATACTATATAATTTTAATATATAAATATTATATATGCATAGAGATGTATAGATTATAACGGCAAATATGGCAAATCATTGCAAATCCACAAATACAAGAGATCAATCTGTGGATATCGATGATTTTCCGATCAACCAGCCACGTTTGAGCACATGAGGGCAGCCAAAACTATGTGTGTTCCCTGGATTTATGATCATTTCATAGGTGCGGCCTGATGCCACTTACCATCAGCTGTGCAAATAGGGACCCGTTTCGGATAATTCCACACTGCTATTTTTTTTGTAGTTCGCATCCTCAAAATTTGAAAATAACCAACCAGTGTACATGTTGGATGTAAACAAGGAATGCAAGTTTCGATTTTTTTTTAGTCTAGAGTATTTCACAAAAGAGCTACCTATACCCTCCAAAGTATCCACAAACGCCCTGAAACTTAGGAGAAAAAGTTCAAAGGGACTGCATGGCACGAATAGACTTCGAACATCTTCCAAACAAATGGTCATTGGAACCCAATAGCTGGATGGTTTATGGAAAATCACCCAAACAAAAATGGATTTAGAATCAAAAATGGATTTGGTATACCATATCATCATTTACCTGTTGTTAAAGGGGTTTCTTCAAACCCCTTTATAAATCAACCAACCAATGGGAGAAGGACATCTATGATTTAGAATTATTTAGAATGATTTAGGTAGTACCCCCATGACTTTTAGGAACCCCCCATGGCTCATCTCTATCCCCAGGCTATGGCGGCCCCTTTGGGCGCGGCACCTTGACCGAGCCCCACGATTCGTCGACCGCGGCCGTTTGTTTTGAACCGACGATTCTGTGCGGGAAAGCTGCACAAAGAGCTGGTTGAAAACCAACACGAACACAATGGTGATTACCCTCTGGTAATTTAACATAGCTATTGAACATGACCTTTTATAGTGGATTTTCCCATGAAAAATTGTGATTGTCCATAGCTATGTTAGTTTACCAAAGGGTATATGTGATTATCACTTGCAATAGTGTTGTCGTCCTCATCGCTGTCGTCGCCATCATCAACAACAACAACATAATAATAATAATAGTCATATAGTAACAATGCTACTACTTATCATCATCATCAACATCAACATCATATTCATCATCGTCGTCATCATCATCACCACCATCACCATCACCATCACCATCACCACCATCATCATAATAATAATAATATACCAGCAGGGATGGAGATAGTACACAACCTTGGGAGAAAAACTAAACATATGGACAACTGCATGAACACTCAAATATGACAAAAAACATGATGACACATGTGGTCAATTACACTTCCCCCTTGGGACACATGAAGGGATGTGGAATGCCCACATGACGGGGACATCAACCTCGTGGGATTGGATATTCTACACGAAGTACACGAAGAACACACTTTATTGAACCAACAAATTCGGGGATCTCCACAATCACAAGCAGATTTCACTTCACCCACCATTCAGCTGTCATGGTGTTGGAATACTATGGTGTTGGAATCTGAAAACCAACATGGAATTGCAAAGGATTGTGTTTTTTGATGCTAACCAGTGATCATGTATTCTATATATATATATATATACTGTATGTATATAATCATAAATCTAGCCCATATCTGTATACCATCCATATTTCTATATCTAACATGGCCAATCTTAGATACCCTGCTAAAAATTAATTCTTAGCTGGTTCGTGCATAATCCCATTGATACCAAAAGACTAAAGGATTAAACCACCCATCTAAGATTGACCTAGTGAAAATCCTTGAATAGTAAACAAAAAAAGCCCACTAAGGAGACTGACTACAGCCATCCTTTGATTCATTGTGGTCACGCAAGAAAGCTGATGGCGCTGGTGAATGGATGATTCTACACTTTGGTTTTGATCATTTTCCCTAAACGTAGGAGGACAACATGATCTGTATCCTCATCTGTCTATGATATCATATTAGGATAAGAATATATGAGATAGGCTATCTTATTAAGATAGGATATGTGTATCCTCAACAAATGATAATTGTGTTTGATCAAACATTCACATTTGGTTCCTATCTCATATATGATCTCATATTAGTCCATGGCCAATCTTAGATACCCTGCATACCATAGGCAGTACATGGCAGCACAAATATGGAGCTGGTCAGCCATTATTTATCTACCTAATGGGTACAAAAAGTGGTTGACCATAGTTAACCCTTTTATTGACCCTCTGGTTGCCGCCATGGAACGCATGGCCATACGAGTCATGGATAAATCTTCTACACGGTCTACACGTGTTTATTTTATGGCGGTTATGGCTGTGCTGAATTGCCAAAAGGCAAGCAACCAGTACAAAAAGGGACATCTATAGCTTTATAACCCTGTCGCCTATCAACTATAGCTATCATTGCCCATTGCCATGAATCCTAGTTAGAGTTAAAAACTTACACAGCTAACGAACTGAGGCACAACCTTGTGCGATGCATTTGGACACTCACTAACCCTGTTAGTTTGCCTTTTGGCGAGCGTTGCACGAAGGTCTGTCGCCCGTCGGCAATCTTTGCGCCAACTGGGGATGAATCAAACCTTACGAACAAACCCAGATACGTGGGTTCCCTAAATTAGAAACAATGCTGTACGTATGTATGTATGTATGTATGTATGGATGGATGTATGGATGGATGGATGGATGGATGCATGGATGCATGGATGCATGGATGCATGGATGCATGCATGGATGCATGGATGCATGGATGCATGTATGCATGTATGCATGTATGCATGCATGGATGTATGCATGTATGGATGTATGCATGTATGTATGCATGTATGTATGCATGTATGTATGTATGTATGTATGTACATATATATATGTACAGAGCGAGAGAGAGAGAGAGAGAGTTGACATGAAATTAGGACCTCTTCAAGCAACATGTCTTATATTACTTTATATTATCATCCATCTATCTCTCCCAATTACCATTACCATCCCATCTTTTTGGGTTGGCTCGCAATGACTTGACCCCCCATCGAGTTCAGACTTGTGCAGGTTCCCGACAGCCACCCCTCTTGGTAGTGCGAGCAAGCCCTGCAGTTCCAGCCCTCCTGCTATGATCGCCAGCATCAGCATCTGACTTTCAGGGTGCCCCGTTTTCTTCGCCCGAAGCAGGAGGACTTCTGAGGGAAACCCTCAAAATTGAAGAAGTCTCATGCTACTCATCTCCAGCGTTGAAGTGCATCAACCGGTCTATATATATATATAATATTATATATATAAATATACATACACTATACACCCTATAGTACCCTATGGTTTCAAGAATTTCCAGAGAAGGTACTTAACCCCCAATACATACTGTACCGTCATACTTCCGAAGCTACGGCTGGGTCCCGAGTGAGCTAAAAAATCGATGTGTAATTTGGAAATCATCTGGGAAAACCAGGTATTTTGCATAGAAAATGTTCATCAAATATGATGTGAAACCATGTATATAAAATATGTCCATACATATGTGAAACCATGTACCCTCTGGTAATTTAAAATGACTATGGAAAGATCCACCATTTTCTAGCTGGGTAAATCCACTATTTCGACTGGGCCATGTTCAATAGCTATATTAGTTTACCAGAGGGTATCCCATTAGTAATTACCAAAGGTAATCCAGCCATTAACACTTATTATCCACTATTAACCATGATTAATCCTTATTAACCACTAGTAAACCATCATTGATCATGATTAATCATTATTAACCACTATATATAATATTGTTTCATCCAGTCTGGTTGATGTCCTTCTGCCGGTCCATGCAGAGCCCGATCCGGACACTTCAATTTTCTTCAAGTGTCGATCTGGATTCGAAGCGAGCTAATCACGGTATATGTGTGGGTCCAATGAAATATAATCCTTGAAACATAGTCATAAGGAAAGAATTCCATATATGAATATAATGGGCAAAATCGACTTAATATATTACATTTACAGTACATATAATTATATATAATTATATATATATATATGCTGATAATATCTATAATCTATTATAGTCTCATATTTCATCCCCTCAATATTAAACACCTCCTATTAATAAACGGTTCCATATTTTTTTTCATCCCCTACATCCACCATGGTGATAAGGGTGATCTTTCCAGACCTGTAGTGGAGACTCCCAACTTTAACGTATCGTGATGACAATTAAGATGATGTTGTATGTTAATGTATGTTAATCATAAATGACTAAAATCAGCTGAATCAGCATGACGAGTTTGTGAAAACCTTCGTTAGAAACACAACGCTCAGTTCAAACACCGGATCGGTCAATGAAGTCTCCTCGCTCCACATACCTCAAAAGATCTTCTCGCACGGTTCCCCCAGAACGGTCCTGCTTGGCCAGGCAAAGCCAGGAGCTTGACATGGTGAAAATCGGATCCATTTGAGGGAACATAGTTCGGAATTACCATGAGTATGCCACAGTTCGTATCTCGAAATATGAGTTGGTAATTTCACGTTCTGGAAACTCACCAACTTTAAAAGGTAACTAAAATCGAACTCGATGGGCCATGTTCATCCATTTTCCAGAGAGTATGACTTTTTTTTTCCGTGTAGATTTTCCCTTCATCCAATTCTTGCATACGGGGCGTAGATTTTCTAGCGGCATTTTTTGACACCTCTTTGGATCCCAGGCTTGGTCACTGTTAAGTAATGAAGGACTAAAATTTTTGGAAGGCACAACAGGGGGCAGTTTTTTCTTCCCTGTTCTGCTCTGTCCCTTTGTTTCGGCTCTGGTTTACCATGGTTTACCTATAACCAATGCGCCTACACAATTCATGGTTGGATTTTGAAAGCTTCAACACATGGCAAAATCAGGTACGGTACTTTATACGGTCCACATGAATTAATCACTAATATTAACCCCCCCAGAAATATCCAGAAATCACAGTTTAGTAGGGGATTTCCACATCATCGGGACCATATAGGGGCTGTTTAATAATTTTTAATAGTAGGGGGATGGGATGTGTTCGTCACCCCATTTTAGTGGTAGCTATAAGACCTATGCCACCCTCCTCTGGAAAGATTCGGCGATAGCAGCAAATTGCCAGCGTTGCGCTCGTCCTATGGCACCAAGAAATAAAATGATCTCTTGACCGCAAGCAAACAAAGGAATTGAACTTACTAGACTATATTAGATATGCAAGTGTATGTCTGTATTTATATATATAACTATGTGTATACATCTAGATAACTTGAAATAACTTGTACAATAACTACGTATATATATATATATAATCATACACGTATAATAATACACATATATTGTATAATATATTGTATTCTGATATATTCATATATATATATATGTATACCCCCATGCTGGTCTGAATAGATGCAGCAGGTACACCAACACACGGGTCATAGCAACAGGTCGCTGCGGATGGCTCAAAGGACGGAACTGGCCATTGGGACATCTACAGGCCATAACCACAATGTAAAAACTCTATCTACTTAAAGGTGAAGTTCCAGTTATAAGTAGTGATATATCATGATATATATATATATATCATGATCTATCCCAAAAAAATGTAAGGGGTCCCATATCCAAACTTATGGAGGTGAACTCACCATGTTTATATCCAAGATGATTGAACTACCGAGCAATTGTGATTGTCATTGTTCTTTTTGGCATGTGGCTGATCTGCCGTTGTTGACATGTTGCACATGCTCGCTTATGCTCAACAGGGGGGTTGGGGTGGGGGGCCTGATAACGTTCTTGACGACTTTAAGACAGGATCTACGGAACAGAATGACATAGACATGCTGCACCATCCATTTATTTGCCAGCTGCTCCAGAGGTTGAAGATTCTAGATGGCCCAAGTCAACCACCAACAAAAATATCTTTACCAAGACTTTTTACTTTCGTGGTCGTTTGTGGCGCAAAGCCCGCAGAACCATCATTGCTGGAACTTAACAAATAGATGGTACATGGGAACACCTGAAAAAGTGGCGACCCATGTCCGTGTTACACAAAAAGAACCGGCAATTTTACAAAAAGAGATACTCCTTACAGCTGGACATGGCGTCACAATGTCGCCTTGACTGATTCTGTTGGAACGGCTTTGCCCAAAGCACTTTGGCGTTGATGCTTCGAGACGTGAGGAAAAAGGAATGGGTGAGCCAGTGACGGATTGCACTTGAAACATGAAAATCATGAATTCCTAATGTTTTTGTTTAGCGCTCGAAGATCAAAATTGACTCGCGCAGGCAAAACACATTTTTTAAAACTTGAGTCACACGCCTGCCAATCGAAATGGATGTCCATGTTGCAAACATGTTTGAACAAGTCCCACAAATACCAGTTTTTTGTCTCTTAACCTCGGAAATTTCAATTTCAAATTTGTCACCCTTACAAGGGCAGCGAGTCAACCGGTGGCCTTGTTTTTTTTCCATCGCTCTGTCAAATTACCAGAGGGTACAAGATCACGGGGAAACACGCATATCAAACAATAAATTTGGCGTTTTATATAATCCACTTAGGATTGAGAAAAAAGGGTACATAGATGTCAATATCAAGTAGATCTTACATGCAACTGCATGATACTACATGGAAACATGGAACGGTGAATATCAATTAGATCCTTATTTGAATATCAAAAAATGTTAACACATAAATCACGGATTTCCTACATGATGCCCAAGTATTAAACTATATATTTTTGCCAAAAAGATATCCTGCCTGGCTAAGAATTGGAAAGGCCATGGATGATGATACTTGATAAGACATATTCGATAGCAACCACCCTGAAAAAAAACATGAACCAACAGGGGTATGAATAAGTGAATAAGAATCACATTAAATCTAGACCATCACGTATCAATTGTATCCTCTAGACATCTCTAGACTATCCATAAGAATCCCATTAAAATCCAATTATAACATCCCCAAAATCATCAACCAACAGGGGTAGATCGCAGCCATTCTTCAACTGAACCGGCAGTTGCTGTCGAAGTTGCAGAAAGAAACTGATGATCATCAATCCTCAGTTCACAAACAACCTCAACGATGCAGTGTCTGGAACATGTCACTGCATTAAAATTGCATGTGTCAATGCTCAAATTTACAGACGTTGACTGAAATTGGGCTACACCAAAATATAACCGGTATATAATCATGAGATGTTCCATTAAACATAGCATTTTGTGGGTACCCCCCATGCTTGGACAAACTGTGTCTAGTTTGATGGCCTGATGCTTTTAGAGATTCCCATGATAAAAGGAGCATGCCGCAGCATGCCTTTTTTTTTAGTCCAAAAGTTTCTCTTGCAGACCTATCAGCAAAATGCTATGGGGCAGAAAAGTAAAACATGGAGAACTCAACTGTTCTTTCTACGTGCCAAATCCCCACCCTAACACCAAGGATTGAGAACAACAACCATTTCCGGCTGTTCCTGACAAATTCAACTGATAAACCAGCTGAACCAGGTTCATCTGGCCAAGTTGTGGTACCAGTTTCACCCATCAGACCCAATGGAATGGTGGGATAATTGCCCACCTAAACCTTGTGCAAGAAGCAGTTCAATCATCCGCAGGCAGTTTGCCAACAATCCTTGAAAACTCCCAAATACCCCGTGTTGGTGGATTTGTCATAGCTTTCCGTTCCCAAGTTTTCCCCAACACCCTTGAATACTTCGATATGATTCGATTTGGGCTTGTCTGAAAATAGTATGCCCAAGAAAATCATGGTTTATCACATCCTCATGTAACTTGCACTTTTTGACACACACACAATATATATATATATATATATATTCACTATCCTCATCATCCATCAGCTGTCCATCCGATGTTTCATGGATATCCCTGCACAGTTCTTTCACTTTTGTTCATCTCGTGGACTCCTGACAGTATCGTCTCAGATTTGTGGAACATCGATGGAACGGTACCCCCTTGCATCAGCCAGGACATACTGTCGGACTGTCCATCATAAACCATCCAATTTTTGGTACCCCCATTTTAGGAAAACCCCCACATGTTTATGTTTTGTCAGTCGCGTATTATCTTGGTTCATTCGGGTCACCTCACCATTGTCGGTCCTATATCCCTTCGTTGTGTGATTGTTTACGGTAATAAGTAAATTCACCATTAGTTCGTTCTAGATGTGCTAATTTGAAGTGACAGACAAAATCAGCACCATTTGTCGGACATGCCTTTACAGTTTTTAATTTCAGCACTTGTTGTTCAGAAACAACATGTGTTGCCCTTACTTGTAAGTAGCAACATTCTCACATGCCAAAAGAAAAAAGTTCAAATCACATCTTACCAGCAGCATGCAATGGCCACAAGGACAAACTTGACCAAGAAGGCCATGTGTTCCCCGTCGGTCTCTGCAACAGGTCACTGTTATGACATCTTCTGGTCATGCCATGGTCAAGTTACATGCGATTGGTGCGCTATGGTTTACGAAATTGATCTGTTTATGATTTCCCTAGCATCATCATCATCATCATCATCATCACCATCAACAACAACCACAACATTATCATACATTATCCTCCCACCCCCCACACTGTTTGGGGTCTCTTGCCGGGAGAATTGTTTATAGGGTGACCATCCCCTTTCACAGAAAAACCACTGTGTAACTTGACCATTGGACCATGCGGGTTCGTCTGAACATCGGGTACAGTGCCCGATAGAATTTTGATGGTGAATCACAATGTTTCCTGGCTGCACCTTATTTTCAGACACGCCCAAATATCCATTGTCATCAGTATCCATTAGTTATTAAATCAGTTAAATCCTTGTTTGTTCATTGTTAAATCCACATTGTTTACCATGTTTCATGGTTAAATCACATTTGTTCACCATTGTTCATTGTTAAATCCACATGTATCTGGGTATAATAATTCACTAACCTGAATAGTTCGGCCATTTGGGGATGATTCCCCTAAAATAAACCATGATTTCAGTGAGGGAGAACAGTGAGGTCGTTATAATTTACCCAGATGTATCACTATTTGATGGTTAAATCCACCATATCATACGTCTAGAGAATCCAACGAGTTCGAAATCGTCGTTGATGAGTCGGATCCAGGACCAAAATCCTCCATGAAGGCCAAGGCCTCCGACAGGGAATATGAACGAGAAAAAAACGTCACGGACATATTGCGGAAGATAGCAGTATATCCAAGGAAATATGGTGAATAATTATATGGTATGTTATATATATACATGATATGTATATATATATATACATGATATATGATATATATATATGATATATATATATATAGATAGATGTATACATAGGAAATTCAAGGAAAATATGATGAATAGCTTCTGGTGGCAACGTGGCAGGAAATCTTCGGAAATGGTGGATCTTCCAGCTTCCATGTTTGATTGCTTGAGGGTGCGCCAGATTAACCATGGATAACGAATCCATTTAATACATTTACCCTCTGGTAAATTAACATAGACCCTGGCAGATAGGGGTTGGAAGACTAGTTTCCATTAAAAATTGGTGATTTTCAGGATCTATGTTTATTTACCAGAGGGTAATAGATACTTAGATACTTAGATACTTCATTATCTATGACAGAAAAAACATGTTTCAGCAACTGATAATTCATCAAGATAACTGATTTTTTTGAGACAATCCGTACGGATCCGTACCCTCTGAGGTGCTCGGGCTATGATTCAAGGGGTCAAGTTCCCAGAATGTAATTACTTGGATCCCAAGGGAATTCATGGATTCTTTGTGGATAATAGGGAGTAAATACCTGAGAAATTGATATTCTAGGGATATAACTATATAACTCATATTTATAATTCATGGAGAATTAATATTTTGAACCCAATAGCTAATACTATCCCCTCGAAACCCTGGTCTAGTATTGGATCTGTTCATTTTTTGGGGATGGGATTAATATTGATTTATCATATTCACCCGCGACAGCGGGGGTGTAAGCAGCAGAATCCAGCCATTTGATTCCAAACTCACCTATCACCCATCCCGATCCTCATGACAGCCAAACTGCCGGTTGTTTCTGCTGTTTGGTTGATGGAAATTCTGAAAAAGAGCAATGCTCAAAGAATTCCATACAACTCCCATGAAATGATGTTGGCATGGAGAAACACAATCATTAACCAAGTAGTGTATCGAAAAATTCTATCTCCGTGTTCAAAAATGGTCCAAAAATGTCCAAAACACCATATGATATTGATGGAAGCGGACTGGATCCATCCACCAGGCATAAAATATATAAAATGTTTAGGCAACCTCCAGGATGTGCCTCCTCAAAAATCATGTTGTTTCAGTCGGTTTACAAACGAATTCGACTGTAGGTATATTTACGTAATTACCCCACAAAAGGCCAGCAACCCCTTAATCTAATCTTTGAGTCTTTGGCATGGCTTTGACGAAAGGAGAAAGAAGTGAAGAATTTGACACAACGATGATCCCAAAGCCGAAAAAGAACACACAAATTCCTGAGGATTGGTGCATGCGATTTCCACTGACTGACGTCAACAACGAAGTTGCAAAAGTAGAATCCTATTAATCCTACTATAACATAGTGATACAGTGCACTTTCCTATGTTACCTTCGGGGGTACTATACAATTTCCGATACATCCCCTGATTTCTTAAGAGGCCTTCCCATGTAGCGAACACCCCCAAGATTTCCAGCAAGCCGATGAACAGGGCGATCCTGAGAGGTCGGGTCCCCAAAAAAAGTCATGGATGTGTCATCTGCACTCAGTACCCGAAATGGTAAACGTTTACATAACGAACTGGAAAGATCCACCCTTTTACAGCTGGGTAAGTCCACTATTTCTATGGCCATATTTTCAATGACTATGTTAAATTACCAGAGGGTATATGGGAGTGTCGAACTGAATTGGTTGAAGCGGTTGAATTGATGATACGAACACCAGGACAAGCGGAGAGGTATTTAACGGTCGATTTCCAGACTGGCATTTTTGAATGATTCAGACATGTGAAGCCAAATAGATCTAGATCATAATGGATACACATACAGTTTGTTTGAACATAGGGTACCCCCAAGTTTGTATGCTATTACTTGTCCATTCGAATTGCCAATTGTTCGGCCCATAAGATAGTTGCTGAGTTTTGTTTTTGTTTTTAACTCAAACAACTTGGATCTACGGTAGACACATTACTATGTGTCTCACTACAGTTGAAAATATCACTGTGCAGGGAAAAACCTTCTTGGAAGGGTAAAAACACCCTGCCAAGGGTCCGCGTTGGGACGGAGTTGCATGAAAAGACCGCCAGGCCTATACACTGTATATCTCACTGTTAACATAGAATATATATATATATATTACTATTACCATATGTATCACTAATATCAATAAACCAATGTTCACATTCCACTGGGGAGTGCTACATCTCGTGCTATCCTTCAATTTTTGGTCGGGACCACATCAACCTCGCATGGGGTTCGAGCATCTAGTCTTGTGTTCGACCTCGCCTCGGGTAAGTTGTTACAGTTTGCGAACTGGAAACCATTGCCTATTCCAATCATTACACCTGTTGGTTGAGTATTACCCTCTGGTTATTTGTTAGATAGCTATTGAAAATGGCCCATTTATAGTTGATGTTCCAATTAAACATGGTGATTTTCCATAATGCGCTCTTAGTTTGCCAGAGGGTATACAATGTGTTCATCAATTGTTGACCATGATAAGCCATGATCAAGAATTATAACATATCATAATAATTACAACAATATTGTCCAAAAAACATGATAAAACATATAAACAATATATAAACCATATATATATATATTATCAATATCATTCATTTAACCAATGTTTAACCATTAAGCCAAGCCTTTAAGCATCAAGTCATTGCTCAAGCCAGGTCACGCAGCCGTGGAGCCCGTGAGGACGATGTTGAAATACCTCAGCCAGTGACGGAACGTCGGTGACCGAACCTGGGCTTCAACGGTGTAACTACTGGTTGGTGCTATACCTACCTAGCCCTCTAAAGAAAGATGGAGTGAAAGTCAGTTGGGATTATTCTCAATAGAACTAAATATCCAGATATGGCATCTCATGGTCAGTAGGGAATGATTCAACAACTTACTGGTGCTTACTAGGGAATGATTCAACCATCATAGTGGTAGTCACCATCATGAAATCACCATGAAATCACCATTAAATCCTGGTTGGTGGTTTCAACCTAGCTCTCTGAAAAATATGACTTCGTCAGTTGGGATGATGACATTCCCAATATATGGAAAAATAAAAAATGTTCCAAACCACCAACCAGTAACATGCTATAATCGCTAAAACATGCTAAAAAACAAACAGATAGAAAAGCAAGATCGGCAAGTCAAATGCTTTTTGAAATGACTGTTCTATATCTGTTTGACGACTATAATAGATGATGTGAGTACTACCATGGGAAAAAACAACTCCGGAAAACCAGCTCCGAAACTCCATAGCTGAAAAAAAACTGTCTGAGCATTTTTTCAGCTACTGCTATACCCTCCGGAACGTGGCAATGGAAAATCGTCTATTTATGTAATGTATAGATGATGTTCCCAGCTATAAACCTTCATTTATAGGGGATGTCCAACTGCCACGTTTGATTACCAAAGGGTATTCTCCATATATTTCCATATTTCCTTGAACAAAAACTGCCGAGAAGGGCTGGTTGGCTGCAGGCCCACTTTTGCTGTATAAATTTCATGAAAGGAATAGGTCAAAGCCAGCAACAACACGTGTGCATCGTCCAACTTCATCAGTATCTCATATGCAACAAACAGTAGTATATATATATACATATTATATTAAACTATTAACATCTATTATAAATATATATATATATATGTACAGCTGAGTATACTTCGGTCCTGTCGCCCCAATTAGATACCACGCTTTAAAAAAAAAAGGGCCCCAATCGTGATTTTTTTGGGATCGAATCCATTCCACCGTTGGATTTCGGTTGCATGGGTTGCCAGCATACGTATTATCCATTGATTGTCCACGATATCATTATGGTAATATCATTATAATATGGATAATATACATGGATAATATGGGTTGTCCATGATATCATTATCTGAATTAATGATTGTTCTAGGATTAATATCCTTCAATTCTCCATGAAATATCCGTTCATTGTCCATTAATCATCATTAATCATCATTAATCCATGAATTATCCATGCTTGGTGACACCATGGTTGGTCTCCAAAACCTCGAAAAACAACGTCAAAAACAACGCTATACGTGATTCCCGCGATGCCCAGGCGCAAACGCTGCATGGAGTTGGAGGATTGGCCATAGAGCCAGGCCATAAACAGGCCATTCAGAGTGTCTACCAGTACCATCCCAGTGAGAAACATCAAGGGTAGCACCATCACATAGGCCTGAAACCCACGGAGAAGAGTTCTCGACAAATTCTCCGACAAAATTTTAGACCAGGAAGATGGGCTGCTAAACCTGTGAAGATCATGGAACTGAAGTTGGAGTTTGGAGGGTATGTGAAGTTGTGTTCCCATCAATTTTCAAGGAGATGGATTTTCCGTGGACAAAAAAATCGCGGTTGAAAACTTGGAGTTTTTGCCGCCCCAAATTCGGGGGTAGCCGTGCAGTAATACAACCACATAGGAACCTACCACCCCATTTGGAACTGGACGATGATATGCGAAATGCATGCTGTATTTTTGTATTAGTGTTCACCCAAGCTTTCTTGTTTGAACTGCTCCAAATAAATTCTGAGCATCCATGGTTCAAAGCCTGACTTTCCCACATGAAATTACCGAACATTGGGGGCCTATCATCCTATGTTCCCCCCCAAAAAAAGAGAGCAACATATATCATCTCTCTATAATGTATCATACTGTACTATATATATATATATACCATCTGGTTATTTAACATAGCCATGGAAAGATCCACCATTTTTAAGTTCGGTAAACCATCTATTCCTATGGGCCATCTATACCATGGCTATGTTAAATAAACAGAGGGTATCTATATCTATATATATATATACACTATATACTAATGTACTAAACATATATCATTCGTGACAGGATAACTTCCCCATGAGACCAACAACCGCCGAGGTGCTGGATGTGGCAAATCACCGGACAGTCCTACCTAAGGAGCACGCGGAGCACGCGCAGCACGCGGAGCACGCGGAGTTCGCTATGAGTATCTGGATGAACTATCATGGTCTGGTCATGGTAAATACGATGATAAATCACAGTATATTTGATATATATATAGGGGTAGATTTCTGTGCAGCATGCTTTTACTGGTCAAGGCAAGGCTATATAATGTGCCAAAGAGCCACGATGCTGCAGCATCTGACATGCACACCCCTATAGGACTGTTATCATTTCAGTCCCTGCGCTCCTTACATTCAACTAGGATCTATATATATGTGATATATATGTGATATATTTGGGCTACGAGTATCTGGATATATCTAAATGGCTAAATGAGATGGCTAAATATACTATATGATTGGGTTGTCCATACCCGACTTACCCTTTGGTGATTTCACGTAGCTATGGAGAATCACCATTTTTAATAGGTAAATCATCAAAAAAAAACATCCATCAATGGGCCATTTTCCATGGCTATGTGAAATAACCAGAGGGTATATCATATGATTATATGATGTTTGGAATCATGGTCTGGTCAATATATAAATTTTATCTAATACATTTGGTCAATTGGTCTGGGTAAATCATATAGCTGTAATATGTCACTAATCGAAAACAAGGTTATCAGTTGCCCTTACTAACCACTATTCCAGTGAGGTCGCAGTGAGGTCGTTATAATTTACCCAGATTGGTGTATATGGTTTTTGACCAATGAGACATTTTTTTCATTGGTCAATCAGTTTGGATATCCCCTAAGTGGCCATTTCGATCTGAAAATATGCTATCCTATTCTATCCATTGATCAACCATCATTATCTCATCAAAATGGCCACTGTGGGGATATACCCCATTTTCAGACACAGCCACCTGGAATGAAGCTGGCATAGCTAGATTGAAAACAAGGAGGAATGGAACCACTTTAGATGGAACATGTTGACATGTTGAAAACCAAGTGGCTCAGTCAATACCTACTGAAACCACGTGATTTTCAATAACAGCTGGAGTTACATCTTGAGTGGAACATCTAGATGAACACCTTTTGCTGGCATTGAGCAAGGGCAATGGTTAAAACAGTGTATGTTTGTATAGAAAACCAACTCATTGAGCTGAGGGACAATGAGTAAGCTTGCTCCCCAGCAACTACAACCATGTCATTGTCCACTACCTTCCACCCTGGGTCTCCAAGGTCTACAAACCAAGCTGCCAGTTGATGTCGGACACCCCTGGAAGCCAATGTTTACTGGTCATATCTCATATCCAAGAAATGTGCCAATATTATCCACAACCAGGTATTTATATAAACACTATTAATGATATGATATATTCCCAAAACTCCATTTGTGTAGTATAAACCAGGTATGTAGGTAAATATACCAGCACCGTGTGCTATGGGTGTCTCTACAATGAGATATAATATCATCCACGACTGCTTATAGCTACAAATATCCATACATATCTTCATAAATATCCATACCAAAATGATTCAGATTAATTCATGTTCTAACTATCCATAAAATATGAATGAAACGTTTCTTAAACATATATCCACCATAAATTATTCTCTATACTACATTGTATATAATGTATGTATATATATATATACACACTATATAATGATATATAATCTATATCCCATTCTCTCCCGTCACCTTTAAAGGTGTCAAAAAAAAGGACCGACGGAGAACGCGGTTTCGACCTTTCTCCCGCAACATCAAGGTGCCATTGCCAACAGGGCAACCTCGCTGCTGGTGTCAAAGCCCAGGCCGAAGAGGAACCCCACTGGAAACCTTCGGTGCTCAAGCGCGTGGCTGGAAAGGCTGTTTTTTTGTCATAAATGATACCATGATATGATGTATATAATTATGTATCATATTATGTGTATATATATATATTATGTATATAGTATCATCCATGATCATCATGTCATGATATATGCTGTATAAAGTTATATATATATATATACTGTTCTGCACAAAGCCAGGGTCTCGGTCGGGGCCATCTCTGTGGAGGGTTTCCATAAATGGGGGATCCAATAGCTGGATGGTTGATTTCATGGAAAATCCCATCTAGAAATGGATGATTTAGGAATTTTGGTAGATCTATCCTATTAAACTGATTTAAATTTGGATGAGAACTGGGGGTACCCCATGACTTAGGAATCCTCTATAGGGTATTTGCCATCTTTGATGACACCAGAAAGTAACCAACGTTTTTTGTCACGAACAATGCTCATCCCATCCCCCCGTACCCCTGGTACCAGATGTTCCAATCAATATGGGACCTCAGACCCAAGTCATGAAAAGATTCTGCCATGGTAATTATCATAGATGAGAAGTGGAAACGATTCTCTGCTGGCGATTGATCATTCAGATTTCCCTCCAAAGCCACCGTTGATCTTTGTGTTGGCTCCTTGGGGTTGGAAACCCTCATTCTGAACGCAAAAGAGTTCGCAAAGATCGAATTTGGAGTCAGATTTCGGATGATTTCTCCCTTGGGTCGTTCCTGCAAAGCCTTGCTATCTACAAAAACTGCTCACAAAATACATGCCGCAATACCACCGCACACCATTGGAAAACCATTAGGATCATCTGCGGATCCAGGTGGTATACCGCAGTTCGTTAGCTGAGTTGCTTTACAACTAATTAGGTTAACAAGCGGATAGATATATTCTATTATATATATATATATACACATATTCTAATGGGGTGAACATAAAACAATAAGCACAACTGGGGGGGTGGCACCAAAAATTGTAGGAGTATCCCTGATACTCCCTGGTAAAATACAATAACAGTTTGCTAAAAGTTTGGATAACAATCATTAGGTATAGGTGAATCATCTATAAATGATGGATCATTTTCAGCAATTTTCCAGGTACCAAAGTCTCTTAGAACTTTCATATTTGCGAGGCTTTCATATCGTGCAGCCCAGGGACATTTGCCAGGAAGCTGTAATACCTCCCATGAAAAAACCGAGGAAAACCCGGCGAGTGACTGCAGTCATCCCAAGACTTGAAGAATTGCTGGGTCTGGTGAAGGCAACTTCGAGGGTTTTTGTCGATCTGGTGGTTCATAACCTGTAGTACCCTCTGGTAATTTAACGTAGCTATTGAAAATGGCCATTTATAGTGGATTTACCCATTAATAATGGCCATTTTCAATAGCTATGTTAAATTACCAGAGGGTATATCATAGTTACAATCCATGTATGGATATATATGGTAACATGGATCCCATCAATATGCCCCCAATGTTAGCATATATACCATACTTGGATCCTATGGGGTATACCATAGTTACAATCCATTTATAATTGGAATATCCACATTTCGGGGACATACGTAGACTTACTTACGTGGGATGACCTCATGAGAGACTCTTTTTTCTATCCATCAATAATTGATGGTAAAAAAAAACCCTCCAAATTGGGACTGAATCAACAAAACAAGTTTGCTAAGTCTTCAACCAATAGCCCATATAATACCATATAATACTCAACAGGCCCAGGGGTTTTGACGACTATTCAGCTGGCTTTTAATGTGGTGAGGGGACCCGGCTCGCCGCCTGTGAAGAGACTAGGGCAGCAGGTCATGAAAAAACCCGCCACTGCATGCTCGTGCTCTCCATATCCTCAGTGAGAAACTCCCAAAATCCATGATATCCATGGGTTTCTGTGGCTTCTGTGGAAAAAAAAATGTGCAGGAAAAGCCCATGAATTTCGAAAAATCTATGGGACATCCATTGACCAAAAACATGATGACCTTGAGTTTTATTTTGGGTCGTAGGAGTTTTGAGGAAACTTACTAAGTGTCAAGTAGTATATATTTTACACTTCATGGACATTTAAGACTTATCTTTTCCAAGGTCTGACCGGCGCGTGAATGATGTTTTCATGTAGCGGCGTAGCGGTGCTCCATGTATGGTATGCCAGACTTATGCCAGGTTCAAAGTAAAAGATACCCCTCCCAATAAAGGCCATTTAATTGGGAACATGAAAAGGATGACAATCACTTGGTTCGCCCACCTCCATCCTCTAGACTCTAGTCGAGACGTGTATGATGATATAAGCTGGTCTTTACAGTGGATCCTTTATGTGACCCAAAATCCTCACTTTTAAAGGGGACGCCAGTGGTTGAAGTTTATGGGTACCATAATTTTGACAAACATCCACCATATCCCATACTGTATGACAAATCGCAAATGTTTGGAGGATTCCCCGGAAAAAAAACACACACACAGCTGGCTACTTAGGCTCCCCAAATATCAATGCATAATGACAACCCTGGATTAATGAACCCCCACTTCACTAATATGGGGAGTACAGTACTGATATGTCGATTTGAAATCGCTCCTTTGCGGATCCCTATCCATTAGGGTTTTATATGCTTTATTGATTCGGGGCTAACATCAGGGGTCACAAACCTCTTCATTTAACGCAAACTCCACCCAGATCCTGCTTTCATTGTGTCCCAGCGTCGTTTTTGATCCTCAGCGCCGATGGTGATTTTTCGGAAGAATTTCTGATGTGATTTGAGAGCCTGAAACCTGTGATTTGAGAGCCTGAAACCATCTCAAAGCTGCACATGGAATCGAATGAACTGATCTATCTTGATGATAAAACCGTACTTTAAACACCTCAGGGTCGGTGTTTTCTAGATAGGAAACTCCATAGAACTTTCAAATGATTGAACATGTAGTCTGCTTCAATATGGATCGTTCCTAAACATTGAGGTGATTACAGTGATTACTTCCACTTCAACTAATTGGTCTCCCCATCAACAATTACCAATAACCTGCATGGTTTTGGGGCTCGCCATCTTAAACAACAACAGTATAGTATACCCTCTGGTTATGACTAACAAAAAGCTATTGAAAATGGCCATAGAAATAGTGGATTTATCCATTAAAAATGGTGGATCTTTCCACAGTTATGTAAACGTTTACCAGAGGGTAATCCAACTTCCCTCCATGACAACTTTCTTGCAGAGCAAAAACATGGAATGTCATGGACGTGGTGGCCTTAAATACCCAACGGTAACATCCTCATCCATGGTGATGAGGGATTTGCCCACTGAATGAGTGACTTTTTAGGGTAACTGTAGACATAAATATGGTATAAACATGTAAAAACCCTGCCATTCAAATCTGCTTTGATCACCTTTGATCACCTTTGTTGCCACATTGGGGAAACACATACTGCACACCGCATTTTCCGTGGGATTGCTGGGTGATGCTGGGTGCCAAACTCCCAGGCGAGAAATTCCGAGCGACCCTCCAGGATTCGAGGAGGTCTCTCATCGTGATCATGTTCAGGACCTTCAGCGACAGCCCAAGCCCCAAGGCGCCCGCTTGGAAGCCCTAGATTTCGCTTGGAGGAGCTGAATCTTTTTGAAGCTCAGGGATTCACAGAGATTTTTCGGGGTTTACATGGGCCTATATCCCAACTTATGGAAGTTATTACCATACTGCATCTTCAGTAAGCCCAAACTGCACTCCCAAATATGCAAAACACGTTTTCTACCATTAAATATGCAATGTCTCTGCTTCTCCTGCCCAGTTCTTGGAAGCCGGGGTGTCCTGAGTTCAGGGTGCCTAAGCGCCAGTTCAGCGCCTGATGGTCGAAGTTCAAATCCATGGGTTGAAGCTCTAGTGAGACAGAAAACTATAGAAAACCATGGAATATGGGGAGGGGTTCCTGTAGATTGTCCAAACCAATGCATTGATCAAAGGGTGTTCTATTTAGCCATTCTATGCCATTCTGTTCATAAGCGGAAATAACCTTCAAATCGTGGTTGTTGGTTAAGAGTGCATAACGACGCCCGCTGAGCGCGCCGGCTCCCACGATGAGAAGAAAGCCTCAGCGCGACGGCCCTTACGGCCCATTCCTGGATCCCCAGCCCCATGGAAAATGAACATGTTGCCTATAGAAACAAAAGTGAAACCACATAATATGTGTATATAATTGTATACATATATATGTGTGTATATGTATGTATACATATATATATATATAAATATTATTATTATTGTGATTCTTATTATTATTATTATTATTATTATTATTATTATTTTTATATACACTGTATAACGATATAACATGTTGCCATTCACATAATATGAACTCAACAGCATGGGACATTTTTTCGAACCAGTCCAATACATTCCACCAGGGCTTTTTTTGGGTCAAATTCAAATCATGAAACTGTCATGTACCCTCTGGTAATTTAACATAGCTATTGAAAATGACCATAGAAATAGTGAGTTTTCCATTAAAAATGGTGATTTTCCATAGTTACTATCGGTGATAAATACCATGGGATTCCATGGGATTATAATGAAACTGTCAATTTTGCTTCTACTTTGAGCCTCAAATGATTACAAGAAACATACCTCTGTACCAACTTTTATCAAACAACTCTTGCCGGCTACGCAGATATGGTGGGATATCTTGGGACTCCGAGCCTTGTGATATGTTGGGACATGATAAGAATGACAAGGCCTTCCATTGAATCTCTTAAATACCTTTCAAGTTTGCTTGAGGCGCTGTGCCAAATACCCGCAATGAGCACCAGGTTCTGCATGATACTCCGAACATTTGTGAAAAGTACGCTGATTGGCTTACCAATCAGCTTTCTAACTTGGCAGCTTGCGTGCACATGGAAGTGGCACCTTGCATTGGCTGTGCAGTAAATGTATTGAACATAGGCTATCAAACATTCAACATTAATAAATACACACATGCTTCGAATTGGTTTTGAATTACCCCATCTCCAAAGCCCAAAACCAGGCCTGCTCCCCAAATAAAGAGGTCAAATGACAAAGAATCCACCCTTGTGGTTCTAATTTGTCTGTTCAACATTGTGGAAAACATCAGCATTTTTTGCTGGTAGATCATATAAATAGGTAAAACATTCCATGGCTACCTTACCAGAGGGACCGGAGGGTACTGAGTTGGAACAACACAACGAACACCTGGGAGATCAGCGAAAACTTCCGCCAGGCCAAGCTGCAACCGGAGAAACCGCCAGCGACAATGCCGCCAGCCGCCTTCATGGTCCTTGGCATTGGCCCAGTGGGTTTATGCAAGTTCCATAAATTCAGTATCACCCCCTCAGAAAAAAAATAGACATTGGGAACCGTTCATTGTAATATGTAAGAGTTGGATGGCACCAAATCTATCGTTTTGGGGTGTTTGCGGGAAAAAAAACAGGGTATATTCAAGAATAGAAACCACTTGCTTAGGTGATGAATGATCTTGTTGTCGTATATGCAACTGGCAAAACATCAAGGACTGATGTGATTGGTACCTGCAGATTTCAATTCACCGGATGGTCTGGAACCTCCCCTTGGGAGTTCTGTTCCTTTTGGGATTGTCTTCTGTGGGGATTGTCGTATATCCAAGGAGCAAAGAAAACACAGCAGCATCTTCACGGGAACACAAACACTTCAATCCTCAAGTGTGTTTGTCCAGAAATAGGGTACCCCAGACTCCGATGGTTTATCATCATCTTTCCCATATGAAAACGTCTAAATATAGGAGGGGTATGCCCCAAATCTGGACAACCAACTTTGGGGAAAAAGTGCCTGCTTGAAACACCCTAGGAGCTTCAAATGTTGCCACGCATTCTCACGTCCAATCGCAATAAAGATACACCTTGGTGCCGGGATGTGCCGCTGAAAAATGCTATTCCTGTCAATGCTGTTGGTAACCAGTAGAACGATTAGATCTTTAGTGGATATCTAATATAAATATATTAAACTATATGTATATAACCAAACAAGACAGCTGCGGGGGCCCTTCTTGCAACTATTTTGATGCGAAACTGGGCTGTTGAATTCCTGGCAGTGGGTCTCTTAATCCATTCCTCAAACTATGGCTTTTCTCAAAACAAGACATCATAATGCACGGAAATCTACTCAGACTCACCCCAGCAACTTACATAGGGCCGATTTACCATGCAAAACAAGTTGTTGGAGGGCTTTGGGGGCCACCATTGGATTTCTCAGCCAGTTCCAGGAATGGTTTTTCTGGTTTTTGTAGCTCGAACCAGTGGGTTCCAGGTAACCAGGTTGGTTTGCCCTATTTTCTCCCGCAAATATGAAGCCAACCATATCTGCAAATTTCACATGGAAAATGGGCCCAAAAGATTCACCCCAATATGATTTGGTATATATATATATATTGTTCTGGTTGGTGGTTTTAACCATCTTGAAAAATATTAGTCAATGGGAAGGATTATCCCTTATATTATGGAAAATAAAAAATGATTGAAACCACCAACCAGTATTATATTTGATGGACCACTTTGATACACAAGGCTAGACCCTAGCATCACAGAGCCGCTTTCAAGGCTGAAACCGAATAGATTGATCTCCGAAAAAAAAAAGACGATGGGTCAAAACCTTGGGCCATGCTTTTCACATCAAAATAGCTGGTAAACAGATGTAAATAGACCCCGTTTATATGGTACGTATCCAGGATCTTACAGGAAAAAAATAACAAGACCATCACCAAGGCCAAAGAAACCGTAATTCAACCAAACATCATATATATATATATATTATATATATATATATCATTGATATTCCATTGTTATACTTATACCATTGATATGTCATCTCATTGATATTCATTGATATTCCTTTATTTTAATTGCAAAAAACAGTGCTCACATGCCATGGCCCAAGCCACCCAAGCCGCCCCAGCCAGCCGCCCGGTGACATGAGGAGCACCACCGTGGAATGGCCCAGAGCAAAGAAGAATCCCGCCATGGCCGAGCGTTTCTGCAAGGTGGTCAACCTCCCCGCGGCATGGCCCCGCAGCGCCGTAACGAGCATTGAGATGTCTTGAAATCTTACGTGTTAATAGATGTTAATAGATGTCAATGGATGTTAATATAGATTTAAAAAATGTTAAAATAGAATAGATTAAACAACTGTAAAAAACAAATGTTGACATAGATGTTGACAGATGTTAATAGATCTTAACTCATGTTGATACTGAATCACAAAGCATCCATGACATCTGCACGGTTTTTACTATTCAGATTTACCCAAAGTGGGATGCACTGGTGAACAACAGCCTCGTGTGGAATGTGGAGGAAAAACTGGCCATGTTACCAATCCACACATGGTGAGTTGGTCCGCAAATTTTCAGTCCTCTACAGCTGTGTAGGGACATTTCGAATCATTCAAACAGAGACAAATAGACCAAGTAGTATAACAGAGTATAACTCCATCTAAACAAAAAAAACATCATCAATAATAAACCTTTTTGCGGTGGTTCCCCATACTGCCCCCTCATCGTGCGGTCAGCCAGTGTCGACTCCATCCCATTTGGGTTGCTTGGATTCCCAGGTTTGTTGAATCTGCCAGATTCTCCACACAATAAGATTGGCCATGTAGCACAGAATCACGAAATTGTTCTATATTCACCATGTATCACGATATATTACCAGACCCCATACCATACCTCAGCCATCCGATCCTTAACCTCTGGTCAGACGACCTCTTAAAGACGCGCGTGTTATATTAGCCGCTGGGGCGTTTTGCGCTCTCCGCGAGTCAGGCCTCTTGGCAATATTGTCGATGGCTGCAATGTGATCTGCGTCAATGGCATGTCTCAGCCTGGCAGGGCCCAGTCACTCCCGTGACGTCACCGGAACGGTCGTTTTAGAAAACCCGAAATGGCTATAGCGGGCTTACAGAACGAACTGGAAAGATCCACCATTTTCTAGCTGGGAAAATCCACTATTTCGACTGGGCCATGTTCAATAGCTATGTAACAGTCATTACCAGAGGGTATAGATTTTACATGATGATAAAGCAAGACTTCTCATCTCAACCATGCAGAATGCCACTGGTTGGTCCCCCCGAACTCAGGTTTCTGGGGATGAAAAAAACATCATTTCATGAGCGTTGCGCAGGTGTTTTCCGCAGGAGTTCAGTGGAGTTTTCAGAAATTTCAGGTGTTTTCCCAGAGCTCAGCAAGAAATCCAGTTCTTCATTCCAGTTGACATGACCAGAGAGCAGAGCCCCCCATCGACACCAAGTGGCCCGATCGTATACGCTAGAAGACCAGAGGTAAGCAGTTCGGGCACCAGCACTGTGAGTGCACAAGTTGACAGCACCTGAGATAAGTTGTTTGATGGATCAATCGAGGATGCAATCCCGAATCATGAATCATGTCTGGTCTTCACATCACAATTTGGTGACCCCCTGAGTTATGATTGTCGGTTTATAAGCCCACTTATAGCTACAGATATATCTACCATAAACATCCATAAACCCTAATTATAGTTCTATTGGTTGTGAATCAACCTGCTACCTTTGGGGCACCACTGCGTAAAATGAATCAAAATGGACAAAATGGTTGGTCCTTATTGCTTCCCATTGTGGAATACAATAATGTCAACCCAGGATTAAATAGACTTTGGTTTACTAATCCTGGGGTACCCCGTCAAATAGTCGTGGCACCGTAATCTGCTAATAAAATGTCATTTTGGTCCAAATGGGGGGAGATCCAACAAATAGGCTTTTAATGTCTTTCACTGGGGAAAACTATATATAAATATTCTAAACCATCACGATTAGATTTCAGTTCGCTCAGTGCAGTCGGGTTTGGGGTTTGGTCTTGTCCTGTGCCACGGTCAAAAGTTGGATATCGTATACCCATGTTGGGGGGTGGTCATCAATCCATTTTCATAGGGATATGTATATTATATATATATAATATACATATATATATGTAGTATTCATTATAAGAATTTCGAACAGTGGGATGGCCATAAACCATACACCATGACCCCACATCGGTATCACTGAAATCAAGTCGTAAAAATCCCATCGGCTCATGGCTGGAGAGTTGTCCAAGGCGCTGTCACACATGCGATGCCACAAAGAACCTGAGGGGAACACCCCGGAGAAAACATCCCTTCCCATATTCCCATCACATATCCCCCGAGAATCTCGCATAGTTTAGTAACTTTACCATCTGGTTATTTAACATAACTATGGAAAATCACCATTTTTTATAGGTAAAACATCTATAAATGGGCCATCTATACCATGGCTATGTTAAATAACCAGAGGGTACTACTGAATCTCTTCATTTTAGGGTGCCATTTATGGTGGCATGGATGGGGCATTTTTGGGCGATTGGATTCAGGGCATCCGCCCATCTTTAATCCCATCACCTGGAGGTCTATTTTCCACCAACCATGGACTCAAGAGATGCGAAAAAAAACACCCAACACATGGGACATTTACCAATCCCTACAGTCCCAAAGCCTCCGGCGTTCAAATTCAGATATCCCATTTCTGTTGACGATGGGTGGGTCGAATCCTGCCCATAAAATTAAATCGCACCAATTCCCATAGAAGGCATTAAAAAATTGACACGGTAATATATCAAAATGATTCAAAATGCACAGTTTCAAACAGATATAGATGTAAACAAGGCAAATTATCCTGAGAATTCTTGGTCACCAGCTGTCATGAAGCCCCATGACAGAAAGGCCCTAAAGGCAGTACAACAAGGCAGTACAACACGTAAACAAATTCCGCTGAAACAGAATATCTTAACATCACCATATGTATTTCACGATTTTTCCTCTGCACAACATCCTCATCAACAAGGCACTTGGGTTGCTTGACGATGTAATTCTTCCATTGATGCCGCTTTCTTCTCTTCCCCAAGCAAACCCTGACGCATGGCCAACAAAGGGAGGGGGTTGGAATCCTTGGAGGTTTGCACATGGATCAAACAAAACACTTGTGCATGAAATTGCATGAATACATGCATCTGTGTTTTTTTTTGTGTGTTTGCATGGTTTTGCAAGGTCAAAATTATCAAGTGCATTGGACTTATTGAGCGTGCTTGTTACATGTTTTCCATCTTGGCACAGGTACCACATGGTCAGTACCACCATGTATGTACCAAGACACTCAAAAAACAACAATGAACAAGTCTATACTACTAAGAACATGATTTTAGAAAGCACTAGGTATTGGGTTAATTACCCATGGACATGTATATGTTACTCTCAATTGATCTCATTTGTATTCGTGTACCTATGTTTCTGGAACAAACAAATGGTCCCTATGTATGTCCGAATGTCGTTTTTGCGTGGATCAAATCCAGTTTAACTTTGGGGACCAAATTTTCTGGGTTGGCAACCGTTATAATATATATACCCTCTGGTTATGACTAACATAGCCATGGTATAGATGGCCCATTTATAGAGTCATTATAGAGGTTTACCTATTAAAAATGGTGGTTTTCCATGGCTATGTAACAAATAACCAGAGGGTATATATAAATTCGAATTACGATTAGGAGGCAAGAGGGCGGTTGCAAGACATTTTCCAGATAATATCAAATCTATAGAAATCTAATACCATACTGGTAGAAGTCTCACTGGAAATCCCATTTTTCGGGCTTGGACACCAGTAGAACTGTCGGGACACCTGCCTCAGCGAGGGCTTCACGGTCCCGCGCAGCCATGGTTTCAACGGGCACGGTCTAGTTTCGAAACGGCCAAAAAAACGGCTTCACGTGAAGCCCAAAGATTAATCTGGGAGATGTACGAATATCTATGGATATGTCCCGAGATGTCTCTCTTTCTTTCCTGGTTGGCCCCAAGTGTTGACCAAAATGCTCGGTGATTGACCAAGATGGACATCTTGGGCCTGGAAGTGATGCGCCCGGCCTTGTGCCTGAAACCAATGCCACCTGCGGATGCACATTGATTTCCAATCAAAGTTCAACTAAAGCCATGCTGAACGGAGAGATACTCTACTTAAATGGGTTTTAAATGATGGTGGATTTCCATGGATTTCCATTGAATAGTGACCTCTTTGTGAAGCAACGGCGAACCCATGCGAACAGACATCATCACGACCTGGCCAAGAAAATCTGTATCCAACTCCTTTGACACAGAAAGTGGAAGTTCAAATGTGCAATCCCATGTTGTCGTGGTTAGTCATATTTGGTGCCACATCATGAGATCATGAGTGTGTCCAAAAGTTGATGCCTTATCGTTGTCCCCCTGGGAAATTCCCATGGAAACTCAGCTGCTCAGCCTCTCCACGCAGCTGCCACACTTCTTTTGCGCAGCGAAACCACACAGGTCTCGCTGGGAAAGACATGTGTCATGAAGCAAAATCATGGCTCGTCGAGAACAGGATTCCCCATGGATTCTGATCTTCCCCATGGAGTGGCGAGTATAATCCACCAACATGCACGAACTAGTATGAACTATATCAACCAAAAGGGCTTTCGAACAGTGCTTCTTTGGCTAGAGAATGGCTTAACTGAGAGAATCCCTATAAGTGAATGGACTTTGGATTCCTGCATCCAAATGGCTGAACATAAAGTCATTAAAACCTACCGTTCACCAATGTTGACCCAACAATCTTTACACATGATGTTGATCCAAATGATCTGAATTTCAGCAACAAAAAAGCGCTTCGTAACGAACAAACAATTGTTGCTTTGCAAAATCAAACAGTCCAAAAAAAAACATACACCTTTTGTAGTTACGCCCTTACCTGATGGTAAATCATAACATGTTTGCTACATAGACAGCCTATATGTTTGCCAGGCACTAAAACCTGCTAAAAACATATACTGCGAGCGCAGCCAGATATCTGTGGTCCGTGTTGGCCCCCCAAAAGCTGGGATTGAAGTTAGTGTCGTGACATGACATGAAAACTTTATATGACATGATGTAGCTGAAGTAACTTCATTATAGTGATATATAGTGATGGTGACTATATATTAATAGTGACTATAATGGATAGTGATACTATATATTAATAGTGACTATAATGGATAGTGATACTATATATAGATGGTGATATCATATTGATATCATTATTATTAGTAATGGATAGTGATTAATGGATAGTGCTTTAATGGATATCACTATTTGTAGAATTTCAAGTTGCCTCGTTTTAAGGTTAAAAAAAGTAGCGCACCAAGAAGTAGTATTGCCCTGTTGGAATGCTTTTTGCCAACTGACGGCAGAGGGGTGTTGGGCACAACCACTTGTGAAGCCTTTATTTCCATACGAGGGTTGTTTTGGTACATTTTGAGCACCTTCCACCTGCAGTTCATCCTTTCGTTGCCAATTTCTGGTTCATTTCCTTTTCTGTTTGTAATCAGAACATGCATGCGCTTAGCTAAGCATAGTTAAACCATGTGAAATCAGTTTGGGGACACAGGCGTCCCAATGACTTGGTCAAGTTGGTCAAACATTGACCAACTTGGTCAAGTTGGTCAAAAGTTGGTCAAGTTGGTAAAGTTGGTAAAGTTGGTCAAAAGTTGGTAAAGTTGGTCAAAAGTTGGTAAAGTTGGTCAAAAGTTGGTAAAGTTGGTAAAGTTGGTAAAGTTGGTCAAAAATTGGTCAAGTTGGTCAAAGTTGGTCAAAAGTTGGTCAATCTGGTCAAATTGGGCCAAAAAAGACCAACTTTGCCAAACATTGACCAAGTTGGTCAAAAATCACCAACTTAGCCAAAAATTAACCAAGTTGGTCAAAAATCACCAACTTGGCCAATTTGGTCAAAAATTGGCAACGTTGGTCAAAAACCACCAACTTTGTAAAAAAATTGACCAAGTTGGTCAAAAATTACCAACTTGGCCAAAAGTTGACCAAGTTGTTCAAAAATCACTAACTTGGCCAAAAATTGACCAAATTGGTCAAAAATCACCAACTTGGTCAAAAGTTGACCAAGTTGGTCAAAAATCACCAACTTGGCCAGAAATTGACAAAATTTGTAAAAAATGACGAACTTGGCCAAAAATTGGTCAAGTTGGTCAAAAATGACCAACTTGGTCAAAAGTTGGTCAAGTTCGTGAAAAATCACCAACTTGGTCAAAAGTTTGCCAAGTTGGTCAAAAGTTGGTCAAGTTGGTCAAAAGTTGGTCAAGTTGGCCAAAAGTTGGTCAAGTTGGTCCAAAATGACCAATTTGATCAAGTTGGTCAAAAGTTGGTCAAGTTTGTCAAAAATTGACCAACTTGGTCAAGTTGGTCAGAAATTGACCAACTTGGTCAAGTTGGTCAAAAGTTGGTCAAAAGTTGGTCAAGTTGGTCAAAAATGACCAACTTGGTGAAGTAGGTCAAGAGTTGGTCAAGTTGGTCAGAAATTGACCAACTTGGTCATGCTGGTGAAAAATTGGTCAAGTTGCTCAAAAGTTGGTCAGGTTGGTGAAAAATTGGTTAAGTTCGGCAAAAATGTGAACCTTAACTGATCTTCACATGTGTGAAATCAAGCTGGACAATGTGACCAATCAAATCGTGGTTGAGATGAAAGCGGACCGCGGGTGACCCCTGGGGGTAAACACCCCCATTTTTGCAGTGCTCCTCTGCACAAGAAATATGTAAATGTTCATAGTCCCCAAGTTATGATGCCTAAATATAGTGCAATCCAAAGTTTTTTATGTTTCAGGAATTAGCACCACAAGAAGTAGTTGAGACACTTTTCAAAGCGTTTTTTCATGTACCACCCAGCCGATTTTCAAAAGGTAGGCCCAAACACTTGTGGCCTCCTTAAAACATAGCCACTCGAAAGTCTACATCACTATTTAATCAGAACATATCCAGAAAATCACTATCCATTAATGATATCAATAGTTGGTGGTTTCAACCTACCCCTCTGAAAAATATGACTTCGTCAGTTGGGATGATGAGATTCCCAATATTAATGGACAAATAATCCAAATGTTCCAAACCACCAACCAGCAAAATGCTTTACATGAGATGCCTACCTCGTTTGCCAGGGGTGTGACACACCCTCGTTTGACAGTCTCTGACAGGATGTTTTCTGCAAACCGAGTACGCTCCAATACTACTCTCCATTTAACAAAATAAAAGCCATCACTCAAACGTATTCACCAAAGATCAGACATACACGCAATACTATTCTATATATTATATTACATGACATTCATAGATTTCAAACATACCCCCCACGTGCCCCCCACCCAAAAACCAAGGATTTCAGCCAAAAGGAAATAAGACAGGAATAAAGCTTGATGGCATACAACAAAAACGGCAAAATACCCAAACCTTATTCCAGCCTTAATTCCGATTTGCAATGAACCCGTTAAGGCTGAAATAAGGCTGAATTCCTGTACTATTTCTCTTCCATGCCCACAACTGTTGTGGACATGATGTTTTCCTGTGTTATTCCTGTACTACCCAGGAGTTTCTGTTTTAAGAAAAAAGTGAAACACAAAATAGAAAAAAACAACTACAAAGTTAACATGATGCAACAGAAAAAGTAAAGATTGGACAAAATAAAGGAACAACATATTCCACCTTGTACAAAAAACAAAACAAATAACTGATTAACATTAACCTTGCTTAATTTAAGCAACCTTGCTTATCCTTAATTAAGCTAACCTTGCTTAAATAATTTATGGATAACCTATAGGATACCTCAATCTTAATTGACAACTACAGGACCTCTTGGGTATTTCTTTTCTTGTTTAATGTTCCCCATTTTTTGAAAACAGTTTCAAACTTGGGAGTGGGCAAGAAATTGCCGTAGAGATGTCGGTTTAGTTCATATGATCACTGTGATTTTCTGGATGTTTATGATCAGTCAATGGGGTTTGATGGGGATTAATCGGGATATAATGAAATGTACACCCCACCACAACTGATAGTGGTTTGTCTGAAAATGGGGTTGCCTCATTTTTTCAAGTTTATTCATATATCATACATCTCAACCCGCCCCTCTCCACCCCCAAGATCAAATCCTTAATATTTATAATTCATTATAGTGCATTATATTGTAGTATAGTATAGTACCAGTATAGTATCAGTATGATTAGTATTAGTATGATTAGTATATCATATATTATACAATAAATCAGGTTAGAATGCCTCCCGGATTTTTCACGCGGTACGCGGGTCTTTTCTTGAAATCCACATCTTTCCAGGGTATATATATATATATTATTAATTCAATATACGTACATTATGCATATCAAATATAGCAATCTACAATCATGACGTATACCATATGGTTATTTAACATAGCCATGGTATAGATGGCCCATAGAAATAGATGGTTTACCTATGGTTTACCTATTAAAAATGGTGGATCTTTCCATGGCGAACTGTTAAATAACCAGATGAAAATTGCCATTTATAGTTGATTTACCCACTAAAAATGGTGATTTTCCGTAGTTCTGTAAACGTTTACCAGAGGGTATACTCCCAATGATAGATCATAGGTCAAGTCAGTCCACTACTTCAAACTCCAAATCCTCTGTGTCTTTCGCAGCCAAGGCTTCACTCAGAAGCTGCGAAATGCGATCCTCGCCGGATCATCCAGTGACAAGTTGTTTCAACCATCCGGTTGGTGATGCAGGATTTTGCTGGCCCATCCATAGTAACATCCTGGAAAAATCATGTTTCCTGGTAGAATAGTACCATAGTACCAATAGTACCATCTCTTGATCTTTCCATCCTTTTTTGACTATAGAGAAAATAACTGCAGAACGATGGAAAGGTCAAGAACATTGGAAAGGTCAAGAGTCTGGACGGAATCCTGGAAGACTCAACAAATAGGCGCGGGGTAGAGTAATTACTCTCCCATGTATCTCATGTACTAATTTACAAAAACACAACCCACCATTTTCCATTCCCCAAATTATCAATGTTCGATGATCGTTTTGAATTTTGAAGTATTTTCTCGTTACCATCTGGTTATGACTAACAGTTTGCCATGGAAGCCATCACCATTTTTAAGAACGGTAAAAACCATCTATTTCTATGGGTTATTTGGTTATTTTCCATGGCTATGTAACAAATAACCAGATGGTAAGGGATCCTTCCCTTCGTAGCACCTTGCGTCCGTCCTGAGGAAGCTCGGACATGGCGCGTTGCCATGAGAGGATCTCCATGGTCAGCAACAGCGAAGCGTAGGATTTCAGCTCCTTAGGGGCAAAGCCTGGTGGCGCCCCAGTTCCTAACAGAAGTGGAGAGGCCCCGACTTTGTTCGAAAATGTTCAACGTCATAATGCCAGGCCATTTATATCTATGCTAGCTACGTATCCAAATCATCCCATTTCATCCCATTGGGTACAGCGCTGCTGCCTGAGGGATATACGGAGGTTTCCGAAGTCATTGGGGTACCCCCAGATATCATCCATTTTAGATGGGGATTTGCCATGAAATAAACCATCCTAGCTATTGGGGGCCCCCATGGCTATGGAAACCTCCATATGCCTATTGCAGCCCTCTTTTGACAGCTCTCAATCTTCAATCTTCCACATCCCTAATCAGCCAGCGGCTCAGACAAGTGGCTGGTGGCAAGTCGTACCAGAAATTCACACCTTGGACGGTGTGCTTCGTCCAAACATGGCTCGCTGGAAAAGTCGATGCCAGTTACAGATTGTCCCATTACAACGTTCGGGATGTCCCATCGCCACGGGGGATCGGAGTGGAGTTGTTTCTAATGTGTACATCTTTCTGGGTAAATTATAACGACCTCACTGCGACCTCACTGGGAATAATGGTTAGTAAGGGAAATCATCCCCAAATGGCCTTAATTCAGGTTAGTGAAATATTATAATTTACCCGGATCTTTTTTTCCCCAATCCAGTCAGGCCCCAGAAAAACCTTTGTACCCCACGCGGAACAGCAATACGTCTCCTTGCTGAATGTCAGAATCAACTGCCTGGTCTATGTTGGGTCATGGGGTATATGCCTAATGTTTGGCAATGTTCAGCACGGGAACATGATGATAAACCAGTGGATTTGGGGATCCAAAACTCACACAAACCCACCATCAATGTACCATGGGGTACCCAGCAAAAATCATTTCACAGTGCTATGTTTGACTATTAAACACCCCCATTCCATGGTCCCAAATATATGTGACTTCATCCCATATACATCCAGCATGATTATCCTGGAGGGTGTTCAGTGCCGAACGGAGAAATAACAATGATTTTCTTCGGCCAGCGACTACATACTGTATTTATGTACTATTACATATACCCATATGCTCCATGTATGGCATATTTACCAACATTTGCCCCAAAAGATCACCCAAATGTAGGTAAATATACCATACATGGAGTATATGGATATACTTATGCCTGGATCTTCCAGGTATGCGTTTTTTTTTGCTCTTTTACTAAAAGGCAAAACAAACAAAACAGCTCGATTTTTTCCGAATAGCCTGTGTGGAAATCATGAAACCAAAACTACCCTAACCAAATTACTCCGACATGTATTGATTTACCCAAAATACCTTAATACTTACATGGATTCATAGTGTTTCATTGATATGTGTTGCTTTTGCCCAAACTATCCCACCACATTTCTTGGTTTAAGTTAAACCAATAACTATCCCAACAAATTTATTTGCTTGTGCAAATTATCCCAATTATTTTGTTGGTTTAGCCAAGCTATCCCAGTAGAGTTTTTGTTTTACCCCAACTATTTCATGTTCCTATCCTCAGTTGTCACACACCGACTTGTTGCAACTGCAAGAGTTTGCCATGGCGTGAACATGTTTGAATTTGGCCTTGGATGGGCTTCAACTGGAATATGTTCCTACCCCAATGGGAAATTTTGCATCAAAAACGTTGTTCGGGTACAGTCGCCTTTCGGTCGCGAAAAGTCGCCGTTTGGCCGGGAAAAGTCGCCCGCTCCGTTTTTTTCTTTTGAGGGTTACAAACTTCCAGAAAAAGACATTAATTCCAGCAAAACCCAATTCAAAGGCATTCCAACTAGTTTTCCCATTCTTGCGAGAAAGATCCAAATGACCATGCCTCGGCCTAATGCCCTGCATGGGCCACAGCCCAAAATCAAAGATATAGGAAACTAAGGATATATACATTCCAGGTAAAAAAGGGTGGGCTGTGCTACTGCCCTGTGTTGTTGTCAAACGGTTGCTTTGCAGCTTGGCCTTTCAAACAAGTAAACCCAGTTTCACCCATAGATCTGAGGGAATTGGGTGAAAAGATTGCCTTATCTTTGGATTGGCATATTTAGCCTTGAAATCATTGAGAGATTTCTGCCACCATTAAAAAGGTGGCCCTACTTACTTGAAATCGCAGAAGTCGCTCGTGGTCGGGTAAAGTCGCCTTTTAACCACAAAAGGCAGAATTCCCTCAAAAGGCAGAAATTATGCACGCTGGGGAAGATGTAGGTATAGTCTTATACACCCTCTCGTAATCAAACATGGCAATGGAAAATTCCCTTTTTGTAGATGCATGTTCCATTTACATGCTCATCTGGCTGGTGGTATACCTACCCTCTGAAAAATATGAAAGTCAGTTCGGATTATGAAATTCCCAATGATTAATCATATGGACAAAATAATCCAAATGTTCCAAACCACCAACCAGTCATTCATAGATTTCCCAGCCACGTTTGATGACACGTCCTTACTACCAGACTCTTGGAATTATCCAATGGCCATCTCAATCCATCCGTTTTCGCCACGCATCTTTCAGGTTTCGAGTAAACATTTAGCGTTCCCGAGCCACGCAAAAAAAATACGTTACATGTATGTCATCTCACTGATGAGGATGGATTTTCATAGTGGTTTGATCCATACTGCAATCACCATGAAACTTAAATCGTTTCGAACAAGCGTGAAATCAAGCAACCGTCTTTACCGACTCAGATCCCCACTATTGGAGCTTCTATATATATATATAGTTTATATATGTATACACTATATATATATATTTATATATATATAATTATATAGTGTATACATATATTATACATATACCCAGCAGCCACCGCAAGGTGATGTACTCCAGTTGATCCAGTTGCTTTCTCTTCACCACACTAACTAGTTCGATCAAAACATTCCAAATCCCAGTTTTCACAGCAAACTATAACAGAAATCAACAGAAATCCACTAGATAATTCCATTTGTTTTTTGCAAATCTCGATTTTTGCTATATCAATTGGCTTGTATAGATTGGACTAACTATAGAAAACTTTGGTTATAGCGACTATACTGATTGGTGGTTTCAACCATCTTGAAAGATATGAAAGTCAATGGGAAGGATGACTGGCTTTGTGGCGCGCGATTGGGTTACCACCCCTGAAAACTGTTGTGGAAGCACAAAACACTGTAAATTCCCATGTAAAATAGTGATTTTCAACATCTATGAACAACATTTTTTTCCGGATTGTTTTTTCAGATTTGGCTTTCCCCCATTGTAATGAATGTTCCATGTAAGGGAATTCCGAGCATAGAAAAATGTTGGCTTGCAGTCCCCAGTAGAACAATGATACACACACCATGTCACAATCTCTGCAAATCTTTCACTCCAGCGAATGCTCGATGCAATACCGAACTACTGTGCCACCGGTCTCGAACCGATCACCCTCCTGATCCCTGTCCGCCATCTCACTGAACATTGCTGACCGGAACAAGGCGGTGCAGCTGCAACATCCTCATCCGAGGAAACAGCGACCACGCCCTCGTCACCATGCAGGTCAGGCTTGTACAGCAAACGGATCCGTCGCACATCGGCAACCAGCGTCTCATCACCAGACCTTCTCCAGGGGTCGAATTCCAAGGCATCTAGTTGCAGCCAGGTGTCAGCACACTCAAAGCAAAGCTGCTCTGTGAAGCCATGACCAAGAGCCAACGGAACAACTTCCCGCCAAGGAAGCCACACACCGAATGGCGCCATGGATTGAAGACCATGATAAGAATTGTTCAATGCCCGCTCATACGGTGCATCACTGGGATGCGGCATCTTGTGGCCACACCATGTTGAGCCTGCAGGATGCGGCAGCGAAGGGATTCGGGGGGGTGGAAACAGGGTCGGGTACCTACTTTTTGTTTCTTTGAAGTTGTGATCTTGAACCCAAAAAATCGGCCATAATCACATGATTTATAGCGATTATCCATATAATCCATTATCAATGTAATCCCAAAACCCAAAAGCCTATGACCCATGGCAATTTTTCAATTCGTGGGATATTACTTTTTACGTTTTACTCTAATAATCCATCAATAATAATGGATCATAATGAATGGTATCATATCTTGATAGGATGACAAGTCATTTGACCCAATGTGGGAGGAACCATCAACCGAGTATGATGTAATAAGGAAGACCTGGTCACCCAGCAGCAGGAATTATCAGTCACTGTTGTTACAAGAATCCGTTCCCATTTCCGGTGCCCATCAATCTGAATTGCAACCAGTTTAATTATGAATTGTTCAATCATAATTTGCTCAAACAATGTGTAAATATATGTTAATTAATATTATGAAATTATGAATGAACAATTCATAATTAGTTCAAATGATTTGGTAAATCAGCTGTTCAATACAAGATGATTTGCTGAACATCATAATGTGACCAATATTTTTTGTAAGGCTGTACTTAAGCAAATCACATTACAGCATATGGGGGTCCGTAGCCCCCCTCCCGTGTGAGGTCCTGAGCGCTCAGGACCTTGTACCACCTCGAGGTGACTATCTTAACTACAGATGAAAAAAAAATCCAACTAGGGGGTTACAAGGTCAAACGGCCTGCCCCAATCTACGCTGGGGTGAGGAGGTACAAGGTCCTGAGCGCTCCGACCTCACAGGGGATGGGGGTTGGTAGCCCCCCTCCTGTACAAGGTGATTTGCTTAAGTACAGGTGGAAAATTAAAAATATTCAGGATGGGAATTCACTGCGAATTCATTCGGTTTCCTTTTCAGTAGTAGGCTTGCACCACGTACCCATTTGAAACTTCGGGGTCATCTCCGCACAAACAGAATCAGCAGCCAGCATTCCTTTCCCCAAATCCCAAGGTTCGCTCAGTGGGCAATCACCACTGCTAAGGCTAATCAAATGTAGGTCAAAGCTAATCTCATTGCTGCTCCCCACCCTCTTCCTGGATCTTCTCTTCTGCCAAAACCATTTCCTCTTCAATCTGAATATCCCTCACAAAAAGAGCATCGCAATCACAATCGTTTGAGATGCAGTTCAATGCTGATCTGTCTCGCCTCATGTAAAGGCAAGTCATGGCATATACTTAAAATGATTGGTGATTCAACATAATATAATCAGAACTAAATAGTGACTAAGCCAATTCAAAGTTACCGATTCAGAAACTTCTTCCAGTAGCACAGGTAATGGAACCGAACTTCCTCTTTGTTGATGCTAGCATGGAAGGCTCAAAAATTGCATAATACTATTTGACTATCTTAACTGCAGGCCAGATGACATCCATTTATGAAATGGAAAAATCATCCATTCATGTTTGAAACCACCAACCAGCTATAGTTATAAACCCACTTTTGCTATCGTTCACCAGCACCGGCATGACGGGTCCGGGTCCGGGGAACTCAGAGCCAGCGGCAGGTCGTCGCCCGGCGCGTCGTGCGAGGGCCGATGCGTGCGGATGGAATGCCACCAGCCGGGTGGGATGTAGATCGCCTCGGCTACCCCAATAGCTGGTTGATTTACCCTCTGGTTATGTCAAAATAGCTATTGAAAATGTCCATTTATAGTGAGTTTTCCCATTAAAAATGGTGATTTTCGATAGTTATGTTAGTTTACCAGAGGGTACCCCAATAGCTGGTTGATTTATAATGGAAAAGCCTATCTGGTTGGTGGTTGACCTACCCCTCTGAAAAATATGAGTTCGTCAATGGGAAGGATGACATCCCATATATGAAATGGAAAATATGAAAGTCAATGGGAAGGATTATCCCATATATATTATGGAAAATAAAAAATGTTTGAAACCACCAACCAGCCTATGAAATTGGATGATTTGGGGGTACTCCTATTTCAGGAAACTCTCATGTTTTTTGTTTTTTCGATGATACGGTGGATGGGCCAGCGAAATCCGAATCACCAGTTGAAAACGGTGGTAAACATCCCATTGTTTATAGGCTTTCAACCAGACTCAGGTGGTGCAGGATTTCGCAACGATCCACAGTAGTTCCCCCATGTTAGCCCTGAAAAATGGCTCTTTGTTTGATATTTGAACAGGATGAAGAGGAAAAAGTATGGCCGACATAAAACGATATAAAAAGATGAACACCGAAACACCGATTTCGGGGTATGAAGAGACCAAGCATCATTTCTACAATGTGAGGCCCCCAAGATATAAGTTGGTTTATAAGCCCCAGTAACTATAGTTATAAATACCATAAACCATAGTGACATTGGAGTTATAAACCAACTTAGATATCTTGGGGGCCTCAGATTGTAGGGATGGAACAACTCAATTCATACCGTCCTGAAGAAACCATTGGTTTCCCCCACCTTGAGGCCATCATGGCCATCAGCTTTTCCGTATCCTTTTTCTATGACTGGTTCGTGACTGAAAATCCAAGTGAAACATAGAAACAAGGATTGGGGCGATCATCATTCAAGGATATGTTATGATATTTTAATATTTTAGATGGGATTGAACATACAAAGAACATCAAAGAACTAATTGAAAACCAGCAACCACGTAAAGATCTACAATGTGCTGCGCAATGATATGCAATGATCTTGCTTGCATACAGTCCCGTCTCACCCCCCTGTTGTATCCTTTTGTTGCAATGATTGCTGATGACTTATCATCATGGCTGCCAACCTGTCCCCACTTTAGCACGGTTGATTTTGAATGATCAACTGATCCTTCTGCTTGAGCAGCACATGTTGATTCTGACAATGTTTCTGGACAAGTTATAATAACTCATAGTAGTCACTACGCTGAAAAATGATTGTTTTTAATAATTACCCCACTCCTAAACATCATGTCCCATTGGCATTCGTTGTTATATTTTATTCAGAATTGTGAATTATATTCTCATTCATATTCATTCAATGTCCCATTATATCACATTACATTCAGTTAAGTTATACGATGTTTCACCTCGTGATATCTCCAGTTTTAAATCATCCATGGGGACTTAGACCAGCATTTCTGATGCCCTGCGGAAATCCCTCCCCACAACCTTGTCTTTTCAAGTGGCATCGCCAGGCTGCAGCAACACCTTGAAGGGGCTCTCCTGCGGAGGCATATCTCCTGTCTTTTCAGTCCCACTGGGGAATGGCGAAATGAATGACCGCCAAGAGTACCTTCGGGTGCCACACAAAAAAATGCAATGAATTAGTCATACAGAATGAACTATAGTAGGTGGTACCATCTGGTTATTTAACATAGCCATGGAAAGATCCACCATTTTAAGTTCGGTAAACCATCTATTTCTATGGGCCATCTATACCATGGCTATGTAACAAATAACCAGAGGGTCCCAATAGTTTGTTTGGGGGGGGTGTTGATCCTCAGTACTAACCTTCTGAAACCATGATTATTCATCCATTAAAACCTGGCTGGGTGACCAGCGGTGCTACCCTGTTTAAAAGCAATGCTAAGAATGGAGGTACCAAACCAGCACAAGGATTCGATCCCAGGATACCCAACTGCCAAGTTTCTTCCATCAACTATTGGAGTTCCGAAGGTCAGATCGGAAAACGCCGTGCTTTTCCAAAAACCATGAAACACGTTGTTTGCAAGGTTTATATAAAACTCGGATAAAATTATATATATATAATATATATATATATTATATTGTATATAAGATCTATATAGTGTGTATGATTTCCATTTTTGCAAGGTTTATTAGAACCCGAAGTGTGACCCCGCTTGGACTTGCTGTTCACACAAACCCCGATGACCTGGCGAAGAAACCATGGGATTTTCCGGTTGTGAATGGAAAAGCCTTATTTTTGCATAGGCAAATCATCAAATCATCATTTACTTAAATGGGCCATGTTACATAGCTATGGGCTGTTGTTTTATGATATTGTTGATGAGATAAATGGTCGTTCAGTCATTTTGTTTGGGCAGAAAACGGTTGACGGTTGACGGATCCTTCATATCTTCAGCCATTTGAGGATGTCGACGTAGATTCCTCAACGCTGCGGATTGGAAGCCGCTAAGAGGACAAAGGCCCAGTGGCCTACCCAAAATGCTCCACAGTGTTGAAGTGATGACCTACATGACCTATGTGGGTCACTTTTTGGGATAAATGTCAATATCAGGGTATCGAAGATACGCGCTGGATTGGTCAGGTTTCGGATCAGGAGGGGTGCTCAAATAGTCAAAGAAAAAAGAAGTGAAAAACACAGAACCGACACATTAAAGTTTTGAGACATTTAGGTAAACTCCATTGAGTGAACCACTTGTCACTTAACACTCGACCTCAAGTGCTAAGTGACAATGAGGGCAGTGTTTTGCCATTGTTTCGCTTAGTTAAGTCCCAAAAAAATCACTATATTTGGTTCTAGTCTACTTCCGCAAAGTATCTCCCTTCATTATTCCATGAACAATCCCGATGTTCTGGTTAAATTCCACATTGTTCGCCATTGCTTTGTTGCTTAGATTCCTCTCAATTACAGTAAACCACTACTCTATCCACATTGATAACCCATGAAATCACCATTTTTGCTACTTACCCTCTGGTATCCTCTGGTTATTTAACATCGCTATTGAAAATGTAACTCAAAAAATGGTGATTTTCCATAGCTATGTTGGTTTAGCAAATGATAAATTCCCAATAAATCGGCCCTTGCGGCCTTGCTGTTTCCCATTTCAAGCGTCTCGGAACAGCTCTGCTCAATGGACACCAAGGCATAATCCGTGGAGGATTCCGTGGATATCATTGGTGCCTTCTGTAGCGTCATCCTGCGGAACTGGGTGCAAAACATGTCCGAAACCAGCAAGAAAAACTGGTGAAACAACGGGATTGATGAAACAATGTTTTTTTTAAGCAGAACAAATGTAATTAACCCTGTGTTGATGTTTTTTCTCTGGATAGTGGCGGAGATGTCATGTATGAACGGAAAATTAATGGGATATCAAGCGATATAGATGGATTTATATATATATATATATAAATGGACCTGTATAAATGGGATACCCTCTGGTTATTTAACATATCCATGGCATAGATGTCCCATAGAAATCGATGGTTTACCGAACTTAAAAATGGTGGATCTTTCCATGGCAAACCGTTGAATAACCAGATGGTAAGTGCTGAATTCACCTCCAGTTATCATCCCATGAACCAAACAAACTAATCCAGGCTGCATAAATCCAGCAATGGATTGGCCATCCGGGAAATTACAATATACATTCATATACTATTTATGGATAACTTATTATAATTGACTTGGGTTATATTAGTTATATTGACTTGGGTTATTATAGTTGACTTATATTACAATTACAATATAACCCAAGTCACTAATTGACCATGAATACAACATTTACCCTCTGGTAATTTAACATAGCTATGGACAATCACAATTTTTAATGGGAAAATCCACTATAAATGGTGATTTTCCATAGCTATGTTAAATTACCAGAGGGTATAACTTATAACCCAAGCTTTGACGCGCGCCACGTAGAGTCAACTACACTCAATCGTCCCAGGCATTGGTAGCGGGAGCGACGGAGCCAAATGGTGAGAAATCCCTAAATGACAAACATGCACACGGAGAATTACTAATTAACCGCCACCTTGTCCAAGTCGTCTCAAACGTTTCATGTAAGCCTGATTTCTTGCCCAGCGTTCACGTGGCTCCAACTCAGTGATAGGTTCGAAATGGCAAAGGATATTAAGGTTTTTGGAACATAAGGGCTTGTAGAGGGCAACTGATCCGTTGAGTTGTTGGATGTAAGCCCACACCAGTTTCATCGTCATTTCTTGGTTCGGAAGGATAGGTCTGCAAGGGATTCCTGCCACCGGGCTCTTAAAGCCAAGCCGAGAAATCGAAAAGCACTTGTAGGATTTGAATTTGGGTAGAATGTCATTCTGCACTAATGTCGTGACGTTTTGCCACAAGTTGCGGAAGCACAGGATTTGCAGTGAAACGGATCTTTTGTTGTCAGGCAGCAACAAGGCCTTAGGATCATCGTAATCAATGTATTTGGACTGAGCACCTGCCCCTTCCAACTTGATTGGACAACGAAATCCCGTTGTCAGAAAGAACGAAAAAAGAAGTTCCAACCACGAAACTCCCCAATCACCTGTCGTCCTCATGTCATAGTCAGATTGTAGTTCAGCTGGCCAACGTAGTAACCTCCCCCATAATAACAACGCTTTCGCAATGTTTGCCCCCTGTAGACAAGCGTGCAAAGCATCATCATCAACGTCAAACAGCGGTAGAGGTACATACGACTCCTGTGCAAATTTCATCAAGGCCTCACATGCTTCAGCACCCATTAAGAGTCCATTGAAGAGGCCTTCATTTCCCATTCTCACAGCTCTTGGTCTGATCAAAGAATGTTGAATGGAATCTTTCTTTTTTTCCTCAAGGAGGAGACATCTCGCTTTATTGAAATCTGCCAAAAAATTCAAATGGTCATCCAGCATTTTCCTCTCCTCATCAACGTGAAGCACAATCTTGTCTGCCAGCTTACGCACTTCGGAGGGTATAGCCTCATAGGCTAATCCAGCAGCAGCGTCTGCACACATGTTACCTGCAATGTACCAAAGGTCAAGCACATCTTTAGCTGATTCAAGCGCTCGATGACTTTTGACCTTCGTAATTACAAATCTGTCAGCATGCCACACTTCAGCAAGTTCCTGGATGAGATCACCATTGGAAAACCTGTGCAATACATGTCTGAAGATATCAAGTTCAATGATCCGAATGACTTTGCAAACATAGGATGCATCGGTGACAAACTCCACCTTTGGTATTGGTTCACACAAGTTGACCTGCTTTGCCGCATGCAAAATCGCAAAAAGTTCTGCTCTCGCCACTGTCTGTTCACCAGGAACAATTCCGACTGCCGTGACATGAAACATCGGAAACTGCGGGGGAATCAGGAATAGGAAATCAGCTGCTTGTTTGATTTGTGATTCATTCAATGAGACATCCTGCACGACTGCCCAAGTAGCAATACGAGCATTCCAATGTCGTGGATATTTCGCACCACCATCCGTGAAAAATCTCATGTGCGGGATGTCACAGTTTCTCGGAGGAATCACTTCCGGTGCTTTGACCGAATTCACAAATGCGCGAAAAACAGTAAGTTCATCATGACAGCGTGGAATTGGCAGAAAAATCCACTCTTTCCGAACGTTGTGCAACGTCCTGCAAGCTTCTTGTGCATTATCGCGGATAGCCTGTAAGGGGGCACATTCGAGTAACCGGTGTTCCCTAGTGTCAGAAGCGCCACACAGCTCACATTCATCGACTGCGTCTTCATCCCACTTGGCTTTCAGTGCCGCAGTCTGGAAAGCTCCAACCACATTCAGTTTCAGGATTTGCTGTTTCTCTTGAGGTAATTTCTGAAACACAGAATGGAACAACGCAACATCCGGTAGAAAGTCACCAACCCCTTTCCTATCCATCATGTTCAGAATGTGGTGGGACCACATAAGCTTGGCAAGTTTCGTGATTCTCCTGCAGGAATCAATAAAAACGTTGAATTGCAAATGATCAGGTCCAGTGACAGTTCCATCAAGTTGCAAATTCCAACCAAGCTGTTTGAGGTATTGTCTCAAGGCAGTTGCAGGACCAAAAGGACGTGATCCTTCCCACTCTAAAGCGTCAGCAACTGTTTCACTCGCCAATTCGGGTCTGACAGAGGCTAACCTTCTTACAATTCTCAGGCATTGCAATACCGTATGAAGAAACGGGTCACAGAGATGTTTTGAAAGGAAGGTACAGGCAACGACAGGAGAGGCATTATGCCATTTACCTACGAGGCAAGTGAGAGCAGCACGCCTCAAGGCCGTGTAGTGCTGCATGCCAATGTAAGTCGTGTCAGAGCTATACAGGGCTAAGGGCCAAACACAGGATTGTAACATCCTAGCCTTAACCTGCATAGTGGCAGGTAGCCATTCCAGTCTGTGCATTCTGGTCACTGCTTCATCGATCTTTTCTTTTATGAAACCCAAAGAGACACTCTTGTCATAACTGACTTTTTCTCCAAGATCTTTGACCGAAGATTTCACTATGACAGGAACATCAGCCGTTGGATGAAAAAGGGCACAATTTTCAAAGGCTTCACGAAAGTCTTTTTTGGTGCCCCAATGCCAACTCTTGGAGTGATCGATGGACAGCCTCATCACACTAGTCAACCTCAGGACCTGTTGGTAGGCAGCAAAGTGACATCTTTGTCGAGAGGACATCCAACTCCAATTGTCTGCATAGGCAAAAGGTCGGACAAACTCAGTTTTGAGCCATGCATGGTACATACACGATGTGGCAAGCATTGACAGCACACTAATGCTGCAACCCTCGGGAACTCCAGTCGTGGATGCGATACCAAAGGAGACACAGCCCTGAATGGTCGGGTACCTCATCATAACATCAAGACTTCTGATCCAGGCATGTACCAATGGAGCCGGCATGCCAAGGCGGATCATGACGCACCCAATCGGAAATCTGCCGAAGGTATTGTAGGCTTTGATCAAATCAAGAGAAAAACCACCCAGGCTGGAACCAGACATGAGGGCTTTTTCAATATTTCTTTTTTGTAAAAACGCCAGTTCTTTCACCCCACGGCCAGGTAACCCACCGGAGACTTCATAAGGAAAAAAATTTTCCATTGCTGGGCCGTGACTTTGAAAATGAATTTCCCATACAATCTGTACAGGCAACTCAAAATGGTAATGGGTCTTGCATGGTGCATTGACATAGGCAAGGGCACCTTAGAAAGCAAAACAGTCTTGGCCATCATCATACCACTACTGAAACCAGTCGCAGAGACAGCACTAAAGATCTTTGCTAAATCACGAATGCAGGCCTTCGGGAGACATTTTAGTTCATCATTTGACCATCCACAAGGGCCAACAGCTTTGGCCGAAGGCAGACTGCGGAGAAGCTTCCACCACATGTCAACGTCATCAAATGGGTAAGAAATCTCTGGTATCACTGGCAAGTTGGCATTGGAGAGCACATCAAGAAAGGGCTGCCAGGTTTCATCTTCAAACTGTTCTGTGCGCTTGTCTCGAAGCCACATGGGTGACCAGAAATCCGCAAACTCATTTGCAATCTCTTGTGAAGTGATGGCAGTAAAGGCAACAGACAGGTTCCCACACGAAGGAAGGGTTCCAGTCAGATGGCGAAAGAAGACTTTTTTACCATCCTGTCCAAGAAATTCCAAGTCGGCATCTCCAAATTTCAGCTGTGCATGCTTGGGGATCACTTTATCGGTTTCCAATAAAATTGCAGTTTTCCCAACCCTGGATCTCATAAGCTTTGCATGGGTATTCCATTGCACAGGCACCTCGGAGAGGGTTTCTGCTTGTTTGGCTCTAACGAGCTTGTAGGAAGTCTTGCAAAAATCATCTTTCTGATCAATCGTTAAACGACATTTGAATCGATCCGATCTTGCTTTTGCTTCAGCTCTGCAGGCATGTAGGCAATCATGCTCCGTGATCTGGTCAGCCATGAGAAGATCACTCATCTCAGGGAGTTCCAAAGAAACACATGGCATTGCTTCAAACGAAAGAATCCATTTCCACCAAGACGTACCATAACCCTTGGCTTTCAGGATGGTATTCCATTCAACCTTGGCATCCTCAAGAGTTCGAACACATGTCACATCACCTTGTGGGTTCAAAGGCAAGCTCTTCAGGCGTCTGATCAACGATTTGATCCTGCGTGTCTGTCTGACCTTAAGTCTGGTATTCAGATGAAAAACCTCATCCGACGGAGTAATCC